GCAATTTCCATTTTTTTAGCAGGATTTAATGTTAGCAGGATGTTATGCAGGATTTCTATGGGTCTTAGTAAGATTAAGTAATAGTTATAAATTTAAGTTTATGTTTGTAAGATTCACCATTTTTCATAACCATTTTTACCACCCTTTTTAAAAATCATCAAGGAGAATAATAAAAATTGTTGTCATCAGATGCACAGCGAAAAAAAACAGTGATATACTTTTTTTTTTCAAAATTGAAGTTAAAATAGAAGTTTAGGAGATAAAAACTATCGGAATTTTAGAGTTTTATATTATTGTCATAAATCAAGGTAGATACAAAATACTGTTACAATACTGCTTAGCATTAACTGTAGACTCTAGAATCCCTCAAACACTATAGTCAAAAAGATTTAGATCCGGTCAAGAAGAGGACAACTCTTTTGGCTTAATAAATTTCGAACAATTGACATGGAGCCTAGCCTGTGTTGTTTTGGCTCGGTGTTACGGTGCAGAATCTTGCTGAAATATCCAATCGATTTTGGGATACAATCTGTCAGCGTGTGACAATAAATGTGTAACTAATACTTCCTCTTTGTAACTTTAAACATTGATTTTTACCCCTTTATCGATGAATTGCAGAGGAAATTTTCCGTTATTTGACACTGCTGTCCAAATAGTTACAGAATTCTTGCTCTGAAAGCTTTACACAGCTCGTACACTTTCAGGTATATCATCAAAGGTTGCTACATATACAGCATTATTTTCAGCATTATAACTTTGCTCTGTGCAAAATATTTTCTCATCAGAGAAAATCATTCAGTCAGCACTTTTTTTACCGTGTCGGTTTAGCAATTTCTTACATTTTTGTAACCTTTTTAATTTTTGTGCAGTTATCAAACCTTGAACTTATCTCTTGCGACTGGGGCAAAAATCGAGATCTTCATTTAAAAAATTCTTCTATAAAGTACTTCTAAACAAGAAAACTAAAATTTTATCAAAAAATTTACTTTTCTTTTTCATATTAATAGTACTAATAATTTGATTTAAAAAAATTAGTTCGCAAAAATATGTAATTATTTAGCAATATATATGTTTTTTGCAATAGTATTAGTTTTATTAATTTTAAGAGAAAGGATACATACCTATAATTTTGATAGGCTCCCGGATAGAAATGTCTCGTCAGTGACTCCATGTTTCGTTGACGAGAAAAGTTTTTGTTCTGTTCTTTTCGATGCATTTTTGCTTTTTTTTTTCTCGATAAAGTTGAAACATTGTATTAAATAGGCAGTTACCTTAAAAGACAAAATTTAAACATTTGGTTGATTGATCTCAAATGACAATAGGAAATGAAAATGGCTCCTTAACAATAGAATCTAGTTTCAGATACAATAGTAAGCAAGCAAAAGTTTTGAGACGATGGGAATTTTTTTTCTTTTTCTGTAAGCAAACTTTCTTAATGATGAAAATTACTAATTCGTAGCTTTAGTCATCCTACATGGGGAGCAGCTAATAATAGACTTAAAAGTGCTTAGTTCAACAAAAAAAATTTGAGATGAAAAGTTTTAAGACAATTTTGTTTTTCTACACTCTAATTGAAAGTAATCATCTTAAAGTAAGAAAATATTGTAAATTTTTCATACTTCGTGGCATTTCCTTTTGCTTTGATGGCAGTGGCACACCGTTTAGGCATCGAATTAACGAGGCCTTCTAGAGTGGACTTAAGTATTTTCGCCTATTTGAAGAATTTTCCTTGACCCGACTTTTCTATCGATGAATTTTCAAAGATGTTCCTCTGGATTCAGGTCAGGTGACTGAATTGGCCAGTTCAAAGTTTAACTTTCTTAGCTGTAAACTAACTAGCCCCAGTTTCAGAGGTGTGCTTAGGATAATTATCCTATTAAAACATCCATTCAAGAGGCATCTTTTTACGATTATAAGATAGCATGTGAACTAAAAAAGTGTTTTTATAAACATATTGATCCATAGTCCCACTGACGGATGTTTATGAGGGGGTGATGTCATTATGATACCATTTCTATTTCATTTTCTCATTTCACTCTTAGCCATTGGTACCAGAGGTCCATTCTGCTGCTTTTCGGACGTCAAATAAAACGTCGGTCTCCCAAACGAATTGAGCTTGGATTTATCTCTTCAAACGACTTTCTTCCAATTTTTAGTTGTCCATGTTTCGTGCTTCTTTGCAAATTTAAATCGGATTATCCTATTTGTGTTGAGTTGCGTTAAATGAATAGAACGAAATACAAACGAACTGTATAAAGCGTTTGTTTTTGTGTTAGCGTTCAAGCATAGACTGCATGAAAGGGTTAAGGTTGCCATGTTGGCGCAATTACAGGTGTGCCAAGAATTTCAGTAACCGAAATTGCATTAATAGCAGTGTCCAGGGCATAAAAGAAGTTGTTTATGGCGTGTAAATTTTAAATATTCAATTGGACCTTTAAGTTTGATATCAAGTTCTTTTTTAAATTCAGCTGGTTTTGACTTTGGTATGCTGGATTGCCCGTTCGTTGGTTCAACATAGATAGAGTAACTTTTAATTCCATTTTCCATAGCTGACAAATTTAAATTATAATTTCAATTTGTCAGCATTTAATATTTCTGGAGAATATGAATTCAGCCGTAGATTGTCCAGGGTTAATTTTTTGAACATTTATGGTTCAAGTCTAATAAGCGTCATCCGTTCCTTCAGCTAAGCCAAGATGTCTGACTTACGTTAACAAAGTTAAATAACGACTAACTTGTCGGTATTGAAAATAATAAGCTATATAATAATCCAGTTCGGGAAAAAAAGGAGACGAAATATTTTTCCGTTGACTTCTAACCAAAGTTTTAGCACAGTAAAGGGATTAATTCAGATTTCCAAAACTTAGAGGAAAGTCTCCGACATTATTTAACTTCGGTAGCTGGCTTTTGACTTTTAATGCTGCCACGCTTGCTGTTTAAGTTATGATCTCTGTCATATTTAGCGAAATGAATTTACGAAATTCATTTAAAAGATGAAGTTATTCCAGGAGATCTAGATCAACTCTGAATCTTTAAGTACTAAAATGTACGGAGATTGTGCTAAATGAATAAAACAATTGGTCAGTATAATGCGTTTATTTTCGCGTATAGTTTTGCTTAGCGTTAAAACATAGACTGCATGAAAGGATTTAGGTTGCCATGTTGGCGTAATTACAGAGTGCGTTAAGAAAGGTGCTCCGTCGCAAAAGCGGTAATTAACAAATACTGAACATTATTCTTTGCTTGGCTGAGAGGTTTTTTTCACAAGTACCAGTGCACACAATCCAGCTGTATTCAGACGACGCTTTATGACGTATTTTTTCCCTGTGACTGCGAGCACATATCGAAAATTGTGACAAGATGGTTTACAGCTAAGAAGGTTAAAACTTTAAACAGGCCCAGTCAATCACCTTATGAAAGGAAAATCTCGAGACAGATAAATATATTTTCCTACAACGATGGATAATTAATCTTTATTTAAAGCGAAAAAATAGTAAAAAGATTATTCACTAAAAGCATTTGACGTTGCAATAACTTTCAAGCAAATAAATTCCGTAAGAAAAAAATTTTAAAAAAATACTTATTATAGTTCATAAATGAGAATAAGACTTTCATCACGTCAAATTTCAACTCTGTAATAGCATTTCAGAGGTCAGTAAACATGGTATTTTTACAACAGGTTTAACAAATTATGATTTTTGAATGAATAATCACATTTTAATTTTTATTATTCCCTTTTACTTCTTGTACATTTTTCCTCACACCTTCGTATCTTCAAGTTTCTACGTTTCATAATTTTTTGGAGAGCAAAACAAAATATAACATAAAGCAAAAAAAGAGAGAAAAACTTGCAAAAAAAGCACTTAAAATAGCAATGACTCTTTGACTTCTTTTGGATCCCCCGAAATTTTGCACCGCTGCGTAATGAACTTGCATAAGGATCATGGATGTCTCCCATGACGGCTGACAAAGATCCATAAGAAGAGTTTTTACTATTGGATTTCAAGTGGTACTTGGAACATTTTGGCTCCTCTGTCTTTTTAGGTGCTCTAGTTCTGTCACAAATCTGGAAAGAACAACATTTTCTTTTGTGGAAACATTTTATGTCAGTCAAAATTCACCTTCTTTCCTAAATGAAATGAAATAAAAATAATAAACTTACAGGAAGTCTTGCTGTCCTCCTCTGTCATAGTGATGTAACCAAAAAAAAGGAAATTAATACTAGCGAATCTTTTACCTGAAGTTGAAAAACCCTGCCATTTAGAACGCGAACCACGTTCGAGGTTCTAGAATAAAGTCAGTCGATAACCGCACGAGCATTCAAGGGTCACTTTAACTAAAAGTGGCCCTTAAAGCGAAAGATTCGCGTATGCGAATTTGGAAATACGAAAGAAAACCTGTTTGTTGTCGCAGTTCATTTACGTCGCACTAGAGCTTCACAATGGGCTATTGGCGACGGTCTGGGAAACATCCCTGAGGATGATCCGAAGACATGCCATGACAATTTTGATCCTCTGCTGAGGGGATTAAAATTGTGCACCCCCGCTTTGGTAGCCCAATGATCTGCACGCGAAGTCAAGCAGTTTACTGTAAAACAGCTTAACAAGGGCCAATACCGCACACCCTCGGTCCCTACGCTGACTGATCCGAGTGGTCACCCACCCACACACTGACCGTAGCCAGTGATGCTTGACTTCGGTGATCTGCTGGTCGGTGATCAGTCCACTGCGGGACGAACCTGTTTGGTAAAATGCATCTATCGAAGAAAAACTCGCCATCAAGTTCTTGGTCGCATCTCTGAATTTGCAGGAACGATTTTCCTTTTTCACATTCGGTTTTTTTCGAGCGATTTTTTTCACATACGTGAAGCATGCAGAGAGAATTTTACCTATACTTTTATTGAAAATATTAGGTTTAACAGAAATAGGCACTTGAATACGTTTCAAAATACAATTTTTAAGCAAATATAAACCTCCCTAAGCGTTTTGTATAATATTATGTCAACAATAATATCGGTATTTAACAAATCAATTGGAATTGCTAACTTTTTTTATAAATAAAAAAAAGTCCTGAAGTTGAGAGTAAATTCATACAGTAGAATGACTTGAAATAAATTCTATGTTCTTAATAATTTTAGTCACTTGATTTTTTTCTTACAGATATTGTGTAAATATTTTGGCGTAGCTATGGATTTATTTGAAGATTTACCAGAACCTGGTAAGTTACAAAGTAATTCTTAAATTATTTTATCATAACTGAATGTTTTTTTATAAATGTTATTGCTTACATTTTTTTAAATATAGGCTCTCAAAAAGCTTCTATCTTAAGTCCCGAAACTCATTCTTGGGGTAATGCTAGCATTGATATATTTTCCGATTTACCTGATCCTTCTACACAAACTCGTGGTGTCAAAAGAAAAATTGAAGATGAAAATGGAAAAAACATTTGTGAAATATTGAATGGTAAGTCCAAGTATTTATCNGTCTTTTTAGGTGCTCTAGTTCTGTCACAAATCTGGAAAGAACAACATTTTCTTTTGTGGAAACATTTTATGTCAGTCAAAATTCACCTTCTTTCCTAAATGAAATGAAATAAAAATAATAAACTTACAGGAAGTCTTGCTGTCCTCCTCTGTCATAGTGATGTAACCAAAAAAAAGGAAATTAATACTAGCGAATCTTTTACCTGAAGTTGAAAAACCCTGCCATTTAGAACGCGAACCACGTTCGAGGTTCTAGAATAAAGTCAGTCGATAACCGCACGAGCATTCAAGGGTCACTTTAACTAAAAGTGGCCCTTAAAGCGAAAGATTCGCGTATGCGAATTTGGAAATACGAAAGAAAACCTGTTTGTTGTCGCAGTTCATTTACGTCGCACTAGAGCTTCACAATGGGCTATTGGCGACGGTCTGGGAAACATCCCTGAGGATGATCCGAAGACATGCCATGACAATTTTGATCCTCTGCTGAGGGGATTAAAATTGTGCACCCCCGCTTTGGTAGCCCAATGATCTGCACGCGAAGTCAAGCAGTTTACTGTAAAACAGCTTAACAAGGGCCAATACCGCACACCCTCGGTCCCTACGCTGACTGATCCGAGTGGTCACCCACCCACACACTGACCGTAGCCAGTGATGCTTGACTTCGGTGATCTGCTGGTCGGTGATCAGTCCACTGCGGGACGAACCTGTTTGGTAAAATGCATCTATCGAAGAAAAACTCGCCATCAAGTTCTTGGTCGCATCTCTGAATTTGCAGGAACGATTTTCCTTTTTCACATTCGGTTTTTTTCGAGCGATTTTTTTCACATACGTGAAGCATGCAGAGAGAATTTTACCTATACTTTTATTGAAAATATTAGGTTTAACAGAAATAGGCACTTGAATACGTTTCAAAATACAATTTTTAAGCAAATATAAACCTCCCTAAGCGTTTTGTATAATATTATGTCAACAATAATATCGGTATTTAACAAATCAATTGGAATTGCTAACTTTTTTTATAAATAAAAAAAAGTCCTGAAGTTGAGAGTAAATTCATACAGTAGAATGACTTGAAATAAATTCTATGTTCTTAATAATTTTAGTCACTTGATTTTTTTCTTACAGATATTGTGTAAATATTTTGGCGTAGCTATGGATTTATTTGAAGATTTACCAGAACCTGGTAAGTTACAAAGTAATTCTTAAATTATTTTATCATAACTGAATGTTTTTTTATAAATGTTATTGCTTACATTTTTTTAAATATAGGCTCTCAAAAAGCTTCTATCTTAAGTCCCGAAACTCATTCTTGGGGTAATGCTAGCATTGATATATTTTCCGATTTACCTGATCCCTCTACACAAACTCGTGGTGTCAAAAGAAAAATTGAAGATGAAAATGGAAAAAACATTTGTGAAATATTGAATGGTAAGTCCAAGTATTTATCTTTCAATAATTTTATGGTGAGTTTAGAAAAACTATGCTCATAAATGTTAAATTGTCAGTTGCACATTTGCCCATACTTTATAAATTTTTTATGGGTACTTTTAGCAAAAAAATGGTCTTTATCTCGAAGCAGACTTAAGTAAAATAAAAATTTGCTTGCGAACACAAAATCTCAATTGAAAAACTTTCTTCACTCATTGATTGAATAAACTCTCGTAACTAGTTTCAACCCTTTCGTCACCACCTCATTTTGACACAATTCGTTTGAAAATCACAAATTTTTTTAAAAATGTTTAATTTTTATAGGACTTTATGTTGATTCATACCACAGGAATGAGTTAGGTAAAAAAACTGAAAATAGATATCAAAAAAATGTTTACGTGCTAAAAGCAGTTTTTAAATAATTGAAAAAAATACCTTGAATTTGAACAAAAAAAATTTTATGTAGGAAGCATTTATCCACAAAATGTTATGAACGTTTTAATAAACGTATCTAAGTAGGATTTAACTTATTTGTTTCAATTGTGCGAGTATGAATCTCAAAGGGGGATTTTTAAATCACGCAAATGCAAATCTCGACATTTAATTGAAACTCGAAACAATCGCGTGAATATGAATTCGAAATTTAATTTAAAAAATCTTATGAATACAAATTTGAATGTTTGATTTTAAAATCGTAAATATGAATCTCGATGTTTAATTTTGAGAACATATTAATAAAAATCTCGGTATTTCATTTTCAAAATCACATGAATAGGAATTCCGGTGTATAATTTTTAGGTTGCGATGCGAATTATAACAGTGGCTTTTAAACTGTGTGAATATGGAGCGCAATATTTGAAATAAAATTGGGAAAGTACAAAACATGATGCGCAATCTTAAATCACATAAATAGGAATCCCAATGTGTGATTTTATATTATTCAAATGTAATTTTATATTGCCTTTGCATTGGTTGGAAAAGGAGTAAAAAGGAATTTCCTTTTCTGCAGAATTCAAAAATGACTAATTTTCTTTTATAGTAATAGTAAAAAATTTGGAAAAAAAAATTTTGCAAGATTTTTAACTAGTCAAACAAAGCTGAGATAGTTTTCAATTTTACTTGTCATAACAGTGTAAGAATATTAAAATGTAAACAAGCCTGCATTTTTATTTCAGTGTTAATTTATTTTTGATGAAAAGCAGTTATTTAATTTAATTTTAAACTTCAGTTGAGTTTCTCAGAGGCCACAGCCTAATTGTTGCATAAGATACCTTTTCTTCAAACTGTGTAAACTAAATCTTCAAACTTTGTACATGAGCTCTAATAAAAAATTAGTTGTTTTGAAATAAGCTTGTTGGGGAAAGACATGTATGTTTTGTATTTCTAAATATTTCTGATGATAATAATAATGCTTCTTTGTTAATAGTAATTAACTTTACAGATTCATTGTTCCTTTTTTTATTTATGGTAAAATACAAATTCATCACCCTTCAAATGTTGGCGTGAATCACTAAAATGCTGAATGGGCAGTATAAATAGTTTCAAGGATGTAGAGAGAAAAAGAAAGCCAATTACAGTTGAAAATACTAAGATGTTATTGAATTGTTTTATGATTAAGAATTTATGAAACAAAGTTAGCTTATCATTATTTTTTATCCTCCGTGATAATCATGTTTACTTTCATTAAAAATTAATTTATAACAGTCACTGTGCAATAGGAAACAAAACACAAAAACAGCCTTGTTTTATAATTCTTACTTGAAATCAGCTTAAACTCTACTGGCATTAAAAATCTCAGCCTGGTAATTTTTTTATTTGTAAGAATTTTATTTAAAATCTGTTCGCACTTAATATTCATATCTGCTTTGACTCTTCTGTTTTGTCTTTCTGGGAAAGTGAAGAAGATTATCCTGTATCTATAAATATCAAAATGTTCTAAAAAAGTACAGCTAGTTTATTTTTTATTATTATCTTCTGTATTTCTTTCACTCTATGAATTCTGTTTATTGAGATTTGTTTTTTATTAAGATTTTCTTCGTAGACTACGCACAAAGCATATAAAAAATTTTTTTTTATTCTTTTTATTTTTATAGTACATTTATTTACAGATATTAATTCCTGGTGTATGCAATAATATTCATTCAATACTCATTATTCAATAATCATTTAGGAAGAAAATATGCCTGACCTTGTAAAAGTTTCCTTTGCGCATGTATTTTTTAGACTAGCATACTGAGCTAGGCATGTGAAAATTGCATTGTTTTATAATTCTTACATATTTGAGATTTTTCAAAAAAAAGTTGAAATTACTTAAGTTGGATTGGAATTTTCATGAACCTTACATTATATCTCAATTAATTGTAACAATTAGTTTTTATTTATTGTTTCAAATTTTTGTGTGTTTAATCATTTGATCAATTCTCTTTTATTTATATTAAGCTTTAATGTTATTTATTATTGATTTCTTAATTTCAATGTCTATTATAGTTACATATTTTCAAATAATAGTCGGCTAGATTTTAAAGCATGAATTTCTTTTCTATTTCAGAAGAAAAATTGTATGATATCCAAGGTTTTTCTGCAGAAAAGAAAGGTGAAAGAGAAGAAATGCAAGACTTCCACATATTAATTGATGATTATCATAAATTTATTTCAGATCTTCATCCATCTATGTAAGAGGAATTCTCTGATTTAAGTATCTTCCTTTTTTTTCTATTATACTGCCATTTATTATGTAACAGCTGTGTTTTATCTATATTTAAAACAATGATCTTTATATTAACTCATCATTCATTTTTTATTTAAAATAGTTTTCTTTTGCGTTTATGATATTTTTTATATTTTATTAAAATTGAATTCACCCTGTCTTTTTTTATTATTATTTGTTTTTCAAATTTTTTAAATAATCACTATGCAACTAATGATGTTATTGAACAATTGTTTTTTTTTATGTATCTATGAGTTATACACATTACCAATCATGCATTTAACACAATGATGCAACATTAATTTTTCAACAAAGTATCCAATGTAAAACTATAATACTTGCATTATATGTCACATTTCCAAAAATTCTTTGAGTGCAAATATTCTTTTGAAATTTTCCATGTTATTTTTTATTTATTTTATTATTTTTTGCACCCCAATTTTTTATGTTGCATTACACAGCATGATACTTATCAACTTTACTCTCAAGTCACACATGTCAGCTTTTGGCAGGATTCCACCTAGTTTTGTTCATCTTTTTTTTAACCGTGCGCTGTGATGATTTTCCATTTGGTTTTCAAAACTCTGATTTTTTAAAAAATTTTAACAAACAAAGCTTTATTGGGAACAAAAACAAACACATAAATACAAAGAATATATATTTGAAAATCCTGTCCAGGCGACAAAGAAAGTTAATGCAATAAATTTAAAATAGAAGTAAAAAAATAAAAATTACATGAAACTATATAAAAAAATAACAAAGGTAACATAAGAAATTCATTTGGATTGGCCCAAGACTGGTATAAAAAATCAGATGCTTCCTTTAAAGAGAAAAATAGAGATCTAAATCGTCAATGTTCATCACAAATTGAAATAAAGCACACTTAAAAGAAGAATATATTTGGATATTTTGCAACTGAAATGGTAATTTATTATATAATTTAGGTGCTAAGTAAAAAAACTGTTTTCGGGAAATTTCTTTTGCAAAGTGGGGAATCTCATATATTTCAGTCGGTCTCCTTTAAGACACATTAGTTTTTAATTTGCATATTAATTTATTGTTGTGTAAATAAAGTAAAATATGCAAAAATACATTATGGCAAAATGGTAGTAGATTAATTCTTGTATTGGTAGTAGTTATACCTGAATTATTTATATTTAGAGAATTAATAAACTTGAAGCATTTATTCTGAACTGAGATTAAAGGAAGTAAATTAGTTTTATATTCACCGCCATATATTATTGCACCATAATTAATTAAAGAATAAAACCAGGAGTAATAGAGTGCTTTCAGAAAATTAAAATGAATTTTATTCTTAAAGAGATAAAATTTAACTAGAACAAAACGCAATTTTTTAACTAAATTGTTAATATGTTTTTACTAAGCATTTACAATGTTAAATTACTCATACACTCTCAATTTACAATAAATTTACATCATTTCATGGATCGCTTTTTTAGCACCTAAAGCTATGTTTTTCCCCATGATTTTCAAGTACCTAATTTTCAATATAATTATATTCTAACCCATGAATTTAAAGCCACATATTACAGTGATCACTTTTTGCCATGATAGTTTCATGCACACTTGCAATGTTTTTTCAAAATTATTCTATCATAATTTATATTTTTATCAGTCTCTTGATTTTACAAGATTGAATAATCAGTTTTTAGTGAACAATTTATTCAATCTTTATTGTCAATTTATGATAAAAGTAGAGCACATTTACAGATCTTGAGTGCGTTTTCTCGAAGTTTTTTCCGTGTAGTATATGATATGCTATATATCACATGCTAAACACTATAATCAGAAACCTTGACTCTTATGAAAAAGTTTCTTTACTGTTTTTATTTATTTGCATTTCAAATGATTTTAATTTTTATGAATAAATATTTACTAATTGTATTTCACTAGATTAATTTATTTCGTATTACTTTCATAAAAAATTTTTATGATTTCTATGATAATCCATAAAAACTTTTATTAAATGCGTGCACATAAATCTTATTGAAAACAATATTAAAAGATTAATTATCAGAGTACATATTTACTCCACTCTAAAAATAGTTTTTCTCAATTGTAAATATCAAATTGAAATTAATTAGTATTGAGATAAAATTTTATTTTTTAAAAACATATTACATTTTCATGGTACATTTATCTTATATAAATAGAATTTTTGAATTAATTTTTACATCCTATTTAAAACTTAAAATATTATAAGAAAATTAGAATGTGATAAGTTATAAAAATATTTTTTCAAATGTATTAAAATAATACAATACATTGCACATACTGACATTGTATTTTTAAATTTACTTTTATATATTAAAAATTTAAATTATTTTTTTGTTTCTTAACATATTAAGCAAACTTAGTGCAACTATTTGCATTGTATCTGTGCGTTTAAATTTTGATTTGTAGCAAAATTTATCTAAATAGCATAGTGTTACATGTATTTGTTTACTTGTTTCCAGATCCAGGCTTTCATATTATGCAGTATTTGATGGACATGGAGGAGCTAGAGCATCCAAGTTTGCTGCCAATCAACTTCATACGCATCTGGCACAAAAATTTCCCAAGGGTATCCACAGTGTTCCAGTCTGAATTTATTTAACCATTTTGCTTCATTAGATTTAAGGTCAGTCATTTTAGACCGTTGCACCGAATTCTTTGTTAGAGGGGGGATCTCTTTAAATTGGAAGTATTCTACGCCCAAGTTTCGAACAATCCTGTCAATAGGTATGCTGCCGTACAATGAAGTTGCATAAATGTATTTTACTTTCATAAAATATTAACTTTTCTGAAATTTTTCAGTTCACGCTTTCAATGAAAAACTAACAACCTTTCTATAAGTTCCTGTTGTATGTGAAAGAATATTTTTAAATTTATCATATTTTGCCTCGGTGATAAGATTTTTTTCCCCCTTAAATTTGGGACTCATATGTTAAATGAGAATATGATTTGGGACCAAGTATTGTATGGTTAAAATATTTTCTTATTAAGAAAGTTGAAATTAAATAAAAGTAAAGCTTTTTTTGTATCATATTTTATTTTTAAAATTAGTGTTTATAGCCTACTGAAGAACTGGTGTATATATTCATTATTTGTTTTAGTAATATGAAAAGCAAAGACTAAAATTTTATTTTGAAAATTATAAGTCTTTCTTTTCTTTATTTTAAAAACAGTATTCAATACATTTTTATTCTAGTACTACCTTTTGCTAGGTTCCAATTGTAAAATAAAACTTGTTTAAAATTCGTTTTTCTTTCTGAAATTCATTTGATATTAATAATTTGTTGTAGCTGTTCAAAAAGTTATCTGTTTATATTGTCAAATTACATTTATACATCTTTGAAGATATCAAAAGCTTCTTTTTATTTCATTTTTAAACTATGTTCTAATTGCATTAATAGAATTTTAAGTGCACTTTTTCTCTGTATCTTAAAATAACCATTTGTAATAAATAATGTACCAATTTAGGGATAATTATTTCTTTTATTAAAATCTATGTAAACTCAATATTATGGGTAGTACCCCATTTATGAAGTTAATTTGTCTACTTGTGCAAATATTAATAATTATTATTTGGAAAATAGCATTTGGGGGTCTTTATTTTGTAACAAAGTAATGCTGAATATTTTTTTTATTTATTCTCTATAATAGCCTTTCATATGAACATTTTTTACGTAAAACTGTTTTATGAAATTTTTCCATTTTTCTTAAGTCCTGTGCATAGTATTATTAACACAAGGAAAATCAACCGTTGTAAAAATCTTTCTGAGAGTCATATCAGTATTAAAATTAAGATTTCTATTAATATTGCTTTAATAAAATAAATTTCTAAGAAACTTTTACCTGCGAGAATAATCTTTCACTATATGTACAAGAATAATTACAGATACATGATGATAATGATATATGAGAATAATAATTACTGAAGAATACTGATATAAGAATAATTATGAGGCAGCTGTTTTTGTGAGGCCATTTATTAAGTTGTTTTCCCCAGTTTCGAAATGTTATTGAAATTCCTTACAAAAATGTGTGATTCTCTCAGCATCCTGAGTGGGAAAAAATTCTTAATGTAGTAGTGAATATTTTTGAAGCTATTTAATCTTTTCTTTCTTAATCTGCATGAATAACTTGAACATTAAATCTTTATGAATTAGATTACATTACTAGAAATTTAATTAGAAAAAAATATTTTTTTATTCGGTATTAAATTATTATTTTGTGAACTTAAAAGACAGTTGTTAATTAATGCATCTATTTAATATATGTGGTAATAACTAAGAATATTGATATCTTAAAAAAGGTGTACTTGTTAAGTTTGATTTCTAAGTTTTTTAAGTACTACATTATTTTGTTTGCTTCCTTAATCCTTTTATTCATAATTCCTTCCTCATTTTGCAGGCCCTTCTGTAAACATTGAAAAAGATATTAAAAGAACTTTGACAGATGTTTTCAAAAAAACTGATGAGGAATTCTTGAAACAAGCTTCAAAATCTAAACCATCTTGGAAAGATGGAACTACTGCCATTGTAGTGCTTGTCATCCAAAACATTTTATACATTACCAATCTTGGGGACAGTAAGGTAATTTATATCTAAAGTATTTATTATTTTCTTTAAATGAACTTAAATAAATCTTTCTCAGGCAAATATAACTTGTATGTAAAATACATATATGATGGGAAAAAAAAACACTATTTGAATTCATATTCTTTTGATTAACTTTTATTTTAGGCTATACTTTGCCGTTATAACAACAAAGCTGGTAAACATGTTTGTGTTCCTTTAAGCACTGATCATTCTCCAACTGATTACAAAGAAAGGATGCGTATTCAAAAGGCTGGTGGATCAGTACGGTAATATTCAATTATTAATGATATTAAGCGTCTTATGTATCTTATTGATCAAAGTTGTTACAAATAAAACAAAAACTGATTGCAATGTTATAAATTAAATATGCTCTTTATTAAGATAATGGATGATAGATTTAATGATGGTTTTGGAATTATATTGGATGTCACTTCACAATAATAATGTATATTGAAATAGAACAAAATTGTATTTGGATATTTTGTCGGTCATTGAATGAAAGACAAACATTATTGATTTCAAAGTAAATAACAAACAAATTAAGGCCGGAAATAGAATCTAGAATAATTAAAGTAAGAGTAATATGATCATTTGCTAAAAGGGTAGTACAAACCCGACGTGAAGTAGCAATAATCCAATAAATTCAATAATTACACTATGTGAGGTTAATATTAACTAGATTGGTATCATCAAATTTGGAATAAAGTGGGCACTAAAAGTTATCAAAATTATAGATTTAAGATATAAGACAATAACTTTCCATATCCAAATAGAAGCATAGCATTTAAGATCGTGATGGAATGTTTCCAATCAAAAATGAATCTGTGCTCACAAAACAAAATCTGTTCTCACCGCGTACCGGAGAGATATTGAAGAAAAGGAATAGATCAAAATAAAGACACTTTCAATTCAGCACAATTTCCTTTAATTTTTTTATGTATATATTCCTTTATTTCTCACATTTTTGGGAACAAAACATTTTTTTAGGACCTAAACACACACAAGACAGGTATTAAAACATAAAGTCAGGAAGCATTTTAACAGATGCCTATAATATTTCAAGAAATGGGTGGCAGAAGAGTAGTTTTGAAATTTTATAAAGGTTTTTCATTCAAACGTATACATTATAAAAAATACAAAAGGGTAAATTTAAAAGGTGATAAGCAGATAAATACGAAAGGAACACTTAATTGGAAAGAATTTTAAATATTAAAGAAACATTCAAGGGTATTAAGAGGTAGATATAAAGGACATTGAAATTGATGAAAAAGTAAAGGTTTTGAGAATTTGTATTAATGTTAAAGCCAAAAGATAAGGTTGTAAAAATAATTTTAAGGAAAATAATAAATAAAGAATTCCATCAATATGGACCAGAGTCTGCATCTCGGAAAGAAAGGGTAGGAAGTAGTACACTCCTTGGTGCATGGAAAGCTAGAGAGTGTGTCATAATATTCAGAAAAATTTGACAGAAATCCAGACAAGCAATAACTAATTAAAGTTCAAGAAGCAGATGATTAAGATTTTTTAAGTAATTCCCCCCCCCCTAAAAAAATTTAAATAGAGGAGTAATTGTAACATTAGACTAAGTGCAACCGTGACAAAAGTCTCCTTCAAAATATAAATTAAAAATACTTTTGTCTATATTATTATTTTTAATTATACCGTTTTACAAGGTAAAAGTTCAGCTTTTTCTAATTTCATAACATTTAGAACTTTATTTTTTTAAATATCTGGAATGCTGATCTCACATAGATTTTCTTTTGGTAAGGAAACAATTTTTTAAAGTTAAAATTAGATCTATTTAGTGAAGTTATTTTAACAGGAAACAAATCACTATTTGAAATGTTTCTAATTGTGCTGAAATTCAACAAATATTTTAATTTGCTATTTTATTTGTAAAATGTATTAATATCCTATACAGTCGTCTGGTGCCAGAATTCGCAGAACTTATCCTCCAAACTTTTGGAAAAATGTATTGCTGATACAGACAAGACAACAATATTGATAAATAATTTTACTCTATAGTAATTTTTAGGCTAATCATTTTTTTTAAACGCTTGTGTTAGGTTAATATACATAAATGTATTCTCTAATGTGTATGTACACTATTCTCAATAAATTCAGGAGTACAAATTCAACAAAAATTAGAATTTTCATTAGTAATGTTAAATCTGTCTACTATATGCATCTGAGACATGGTACTGCAATAAAAATAACATGGAAAAGCTGTTAGCATTATTAACAACTGTTTAAGAAGAATCTTACATATCAGGTGGTTTAATAAAACTTGTAATGCAGAAATCTGTAAATAAATAAAACAGAAATGAATTAATCTGGAAATTAAAAACATAAATGGAATGGTCATGTTGTACATAAACTTAAAAATAATCCTACATAAACCTTTAAAAGCATTTTAATGTAAAATTTTAAACTTCAGCTCAAGTGAAATAGAGCACATATCATTAAAATGCATTTTGAAAAACAATGAATGCTAGTGCACTGACTCAAAACTCATGTTTAAATTACTATATGCTTTTTTTATTCAATTATGATTTTTACAAGTATATTAATTAGGCTGATCTTTCTTAGAAAAAAACAGTGCTATTACATTTATTTGTTTACTTAAGAAGATTAGAAGTTACAGTCGGACCTCTATTTAACGAAGTCGCTAAATCCCGAAAAAAAGTTCGTTATATGGAAAATTCGTTAAATAGAAAATNTAATTAGCAAAGTCTTTTATAAAATCTTTTTTTATTATTTAAGAGATGGCAGAGTAATGGGAGTTATAGAAGTGTCAAGATCTATTGGAGATGGTCAGTATAAAGCTCTTGGATTGTGCTCTGTACCTGATGTTAAACGCTGTCAGCTTACTGATGATGACTTGTTTATTCTTCTTGCATGTGATGGATTGTGGAAGGTTTTCTCATCTGAAGAAGTTATCAACATAGTCTTAAGTTGTAAAAAAGTAATATGCTCTCATTATTATAAATATTTCAAATCTATTATATTTATGGCATAATATACCAGTTGTATTTGGAAAAAGAAATAATCAAATTACCTTTTCTTATATATATATAATACTTTTTTATATTAACACAAATTTTATTGCAAATTATATAAAATTTTGTTGCAAATTTTTTATTTGCAAAAATTAGTTGTTTATTACATTATACAATGATTGGTTATTTAAAAGATATATGATTCTTACTATCAAAATTGGAAATCTTATACAACAAGCAGTTTTGTGACTATAAGTGGTCAAACACACAGAGCAAAAACTACTGTAGGGAGCAAAATTTTTTAATGACATCAATTAATAATTTGTACATTTAGTCATCTTTCATGAAGAGCAATTAATAATGGACTGGAAAGTTTTTCATTTAACAAACACCAGACAAGAATTTGAAAACTGTCTAACTAGACTAGAATTGTCTAACATAAATTTTTTAAATTAAGGCAAGTATTAAATAATGAATATACTATCTCTTAATGAATATATAACCTCTAATGAGTTTAGAGTATATTTCTTATGAATGAATATATAGTTTCTTATTCCATCAAGGGGCTAGGAAGTTTCCCTTTTCCTGGAAATGCTTTATACCTAGAATTGATTTAGATTGTTCAAATTTTTAAACATTCCATATGTTTTAACAACTTTTTTATTAAAATATTAATTAAAATTTCATTAATGAGATTAATTTAAATGATATTTTCAACAGCAAAGAATATACTCAGATTTAATAGTATAATAATATTAGTTGTAATATAGGATATTGAAAAGAATCCTATTAACATCATTAGTTGAAACTTTCAATTTCATTCTTATCACTAAATAAGCTTATTATCATTGAGTGACTCATGGCGGTAAAATTGTTTTTAATGAAATCATTGTTCTTAGTTGGCATTAAATTAAAAAAATCACTTTGGTTCTAAGTTTATTTTTTTTTTTCAATTTTACATATTAGTTGAAAGAATTATTTTTACTTAAGGCTGAAGTTGACAATTATCTTAAAATTTAATGATATACAAATTAATTAACTACATCCCATCTAAAATAAGCTAATTAAGTATTAGCTTACGGCTAACCATATCATTAAATTCAAAACATAATATCATTAAATTCATGTTTTCCTCCCATTTTAACACATCTCCTTTAAACTTGATGTCAAAATCTTTAAAAATATGAAATATATCATAATCATTGAAATTATGATGATGTAATAAAAATTGTGATTTAGTTATTATAGTTTTAAAATTTAATTTTATGGAAATACCTTTGCACATTTTAGAAATAATACTGAAACTATTCTAAATGACATGCTTTATTAATTAGATTATTGTCTTATTTTACTCACTTACTAATGTTACACACCAAATAACCGAACTTAGTTTCACTTTATGAAAGTTAAATTATATGCTATTTTATAATAATTAATGCTTGACATTAAACTAAGGAATCAATTGATTTTTTATGTGTTTCAGTTATCTAGCAAACTCATTGCAACTTACATTTTGTCTTTTGCAGGAACGTTCAGAAAATAAAAACGAAATATGTTATGAGAGTGCTTGCAATAAATTGGTCAATGAAGCTATCCGTAAATATAGTGGAGATAATGTTACAGTTGTCATTTTATCTGTCAAAAAGAACTGAAATTACTAAACGAAGTATTTAAGCAATCACTAATAAACATTTCAGTTTCATCCAAGTTACAGAAGCAAAATATTTCTGGTTCAAATTCTTCATAATGTAGTAAATATCAAGTAGTTTTTGTAAATTTTTATAGTTTATGAGAAAAATATATATTCATTCACAGATTTTTCCTGTCATGGTAAAATTTTGATTTTGACTGAATGTTTTGTCCTGTTTTTAGATTATAAGATGATAATAAATCGTTAAACTATTTATTATTTATTTATCCAATAAATAGTTCTACTATTACAAGTGTGGAAAAGGAATATTGAAAATTAACTGCAGTTTTTGTTTTTAGATAATTTCTTTTCTCTTTCTTTTCACAATTTTTGTGTAAAATGTAAACCTTATCAACTGCATTTTTGATTAAATAATGAAGATGTGATAGCGACGCTTGTTAACTAGGCTTTTTTTTAAAAAAATTTAAAATATTAAATTTATAAAAATTAAATTTAAAACTTAGAAAATATTAATAAATAGATAATTGATGATTTTTGTCCACAAAAAGGGCAGTTAGCTATTTTAACTAGTTCTGCCATGCAATAATGTGCATTGATAATAGCAATAATGTTTTAAATTCGAGATAGATTTTTATACGTTTGATATTTTTGTATGATAAACTGCACACACTACAATTTTTTCAAAAATCAATTTTTTTTATCAGTTATCAGAAATTCTATTTTTATTGATTGCATGAGCGAGGGAAAGAGAATAGTTGTCAAGCTGCTTTCTACAAAATGTATTGTGCAGCAAGCACAATATATTGTGCAAAAAACATAATGCACAGCAATGTAGGTAACTCATTTTAGATGCCAGTTTTTATTTTTACAATTGACTCTTTGAAAAGAAAATATCTAAATAAATAAAAAGAAGTTAATGAATGCTTAATAATGGACATAGTTTAACAAAAGTAAGATTTAAAGCAATACATAGTTTAGCCAAAAATAAAATAATAATATAATATAAATAAAATGATTAATAAAATAAATATAAATCACATAAATAAAAATATTTAATTAATAATTTTAATGAAAAGAAAGTTTTTGAAGAAAAAGTAAACTTTTCTTCAAAGTTTCTAATTTTTATTGTTTTTCCTTTGTTTTTAGCTTAAAAACATATTCTACATTACTTAGTGTATGGTATGTTAGGTGTATTACTTAGGTTTTCTTTTACTGCAGTCCATTATTTTGAGAATAACTCATTTGCATAGATTATTGTTATGTAGTACATGCTCAACATTTTATTTACATGAATGATGAACACTGAACTGATAATTCAGAGTTCTGATACAGAGCTACTTGCACATAAAGATGTGCAATATAAACCCATATGTTAAATATAAGAACCAATTCATTGGAATTTTCCTCCATGTAAGATGACATGGGGAAACTAATGAGTAATATTGTTTTGTGTTATTTTTCTATTTAATATGTTTGCCTAATTTTGTAAGATAGTTTACAACTTTGTAATTGAACATTATCCTAAAAATTTTGATGACTACTCTTCAAAATATGTAGCTCATATAATATTTAAGATTTCTAAGTATATGCTATATATAGACAATCCATATTTTGTAAATTTAATTTAAATTTATTATATAGCATCCCTAATAATAGAAAATAGTGCTTAGTAATGTGTAATTGCATGTAAAAATACATTGTTCAGAAATTAATGACATATTTGAATAAATTCATGGCATAAATTTGCTGATTATCATTTAAAATTTTTGATAACATAAAATTTTTGCTTACCAACTAAATTTAAAATGTAAATTACCTTTTTTTAAATTAATTTTTCTTAATCTCTATTATAACAACAGAATCCTTAACAATTTCATTATAAGAATAAATGTATAATTAAAAAATATTATTTTCTAAGCATATATATTATTCATCTTATGTATATAAATCTAATAGCAATCCATTGTAAGCCATTACTTAAAAAAAATTGGAGTTTCTCAATCATGCCCTAATTTTTCAATTAAATAACGTAATGCCAGTTGCATTTTTAGAAAAATCAACAAGACTGCTTTAATGTGTCAGAATTGTTGCCAGTTATTACAAACAGTGAAAATAGTTAAAAAAATTATTGAAAAGTCCCATTCCTCATTCCTTATTTTTTTTATTTTTTATTTGCAAACTTTTACCCTTACTTTCCGTAACTTATTCAATTTGTGGACAAACTCCTATTTTTTATGTAATGATAAACTTTACTTTGTTATAGAATTAAAAGTAATATTTCCTATACTTTTATAAATTCTATTACTCTTTGTGCTAATAAGTTATATTGGAACTTAGTTTTAAAAAAATGTATTTTAATTATAGTAAATTAAATAATACAATTTGCATTTTAATATTGCCTCAGAAAGTAGAAGCTTATCATCAGTAGTATAGAAATCTATGAAATATTAGCTTTGTTTCTATGGAAAAACTTAGCTTCATTTTGAAAACTTTTATACATAAATGTTATATTATCAAAAAACAGAAAAATAATGTCTAAGTCTAAAACAATAATCATTTTATTGGTTACAGTAATTTAAAACGTAATGAGAAAAAAAAATTATGCTGACTAATGATAATTTTTTTTTCTTGCGCTTATTTGATATATTGTTTGAGGACATTGAAACTATGAGTCATTATAAAGCTTTTAAATGTCATTTATGTTTTCCTTCTTTTTCTTTTAATTTCATTCACTGTAATTAATTCATTTAATTTCTTTGGCATTATTCATTGTGTTTCCTTTGTGTAGCTTAGCTATGCTAAATCTTGAGTTATAAAATCAGTTTTACTTTATTTTATGCAAGCATATGCGTAATATTTTACTTAGTTTCAGCATTCAATAGAAAAAAATTGAATTGAAATCTTATATTCGTGGAAAATATTACATGCGTATTTGTAGGTTATTGATTGTTTTGTAGTCAGAGTTGTATGAAATGTAATAAAAAGTATTAGTTTTATATATTTATGTTTTAAATATTTTTTTAGGTGTAGAATAGATGGTAAATCAATGAATACCATTGTAAACACTGAAAATTATTCCAATTTTTATTCTGATAATATTTGGAGTTTTTTTTTCAATTAAATGCTTCTTTAAATTTAAAATGTTCAATCACCGAGAAATAGATTTCTCGGTGATTTGAACATATGGATCATTGTGTTTTACTACATTTTTCACTTTGTAGAATATTTTATCTGCTACAATTTTTTTTTTATATATACTATAAGATGTTTTTTTTTCTTATGTCTAGCCATATAAAATCACCTTTTGAACTAAACATACCATAATAGATAAATTTTGTTATATCCTACTTGTTTCACATATTGCAAATACATGTACATTGTATCATTACATACATATACATTGGATTAGCAGAACTGCTTACCAGTAGGCAATTGAAATATTACATATATCTAAACTTTCTGTGAGGAAATTCATATTTTATTTATAGCTATGTTAGGCTTTAGATAGATTGTAAATTTAGCAAAATAATATAATACTTTTTTTTTACATGACATTATACAATCATGGCGCACACAAACAATACTTTCATGGTACCTCATTTCCCATTGTCTTGTTTTGTTTTTTTTAATTTATTCTTTATAAATTCTGAGTTCATAATGAATAATAAACACAGAATTTGCTTCAGGTTAAACAAAAAATAACTATATTTTACTAGTTAATATTTTAAATGAGGAAATAAATACTAAATGCCTCGTCAGATAATTTTAAAAACAAATATACACAATTTCAAATCAAGTTAATTGTGTTAAATATTTTGTGCTTCAAATAAATTTAAAAAGAATAGGAGCAAGATTTAGTAAAAGAAATTGCAACTGCCTTCTTTTGAGTGCATTATAAAATATAACAAAGTATGTCAAAGAAAGAGAACTATAATGATGGTGACAGAACATGAATTTAGCTTACTGAAGTAAAATATGCTGTTTAAAATTTATTTAAAGGCGTATTTAGTTTTTTTAATGCATATTTCACTTAATTTTATAAGAGAAAAATATGTAAGAAAAATAGGTAAAAAAAATTTAAATATAAAAAATACAATAGTGTCAGGTGTAAATTTCAGGTATTATTCATTTATGAAAGAATTATTTTATATTTACAAAATTTAAATAAATTATACCAGGGAACCTTAGGATCTTGCTTTAAGCAGAAAAACTCATTTTTCTAGCTCTAATTTTAGTTACTCAGAACAAATAATTATGCATTTTAGTATCGGACATAAAATATTTGTCCAACACCAAAATTAGAATTCTTGTAGAAATTAAAATGCGCAATGTAGAAATTAAAATGCTATGTACTTATGCAACAGGACCAGTTTTTATATAATGCACATTACTGATTATTTACTTCACTTCTCAATATTTATATGAATTTATAAAAAAAATCAGGATTTTTTTAATAGTCACTTAATGCGACTAAAAATTTCAGATATTGGTATTCAGATACTAATTAGAAAATAAATTTATCAAGTTAAAAGTTAATATTTCAAAATCTTCAACTTTTTACCTTTAAAAAATAACACCTTGTTTGCTAAAAAAAATATTTACTTTAAATTTTTCATCATTTGGTTGACCGTACCATGGAACTGCTCATTCATTGTTTTAAAGAGACTTGACAAAAAAAAATTTTAAGTTAAAATGTTTTTTTTTTTTTTTTTTTAACTTCTATGCGATATTTGATTAATAATTGTGAATATTTATAGCATGCAAGTATATATGTATATGCATAATTTTGTTTTTTTATGGAGTATAATTGAATGGGGTTTGATACATTAAAAAAAAATTTTTTTTACCGATTTCACTCTTCATGCTCCAATGTTTCTTTTCTTCAATATTTCTTGATTAACTATGCAAGCTACTTGGGGGAAGAACACTTTGTCAAAGCAAAATGTTTGTGTTCCAAAATAAAATTATACATAGTTATTGTCTGTAAATAACGCTTTCAAATCAATTAAGTGATGTCACTTTTGTACCCATGGTGTCATGTAACTATTGTCTTAGTTATTGAATAAAATACTTTTATTCTAATGATTATATATTAATTTTCTTTTATTCTAATGATTGTATAAAAAATTTCAATAGCCTAACCAAACTAGTTAGATGGAACATTGTTAAACTTATATTCCCATACATGCTGCATTATTTTTGCCATGTCACCATTCAATATTTTCACCATCTGACTCCAAAAATATAGAAACATTATCCTTAAATTTATACTCTTGAAAAAACGTTAAAAACTAGATACTAATGTTTGATTTTTAAAACCCTAAAACAAGGATGCCTCTCTTTTAAAAAAAATTTCCTTCTTATCAGCGAAGAAGAAAAAATTCATTTTCTTTCAACAAAATTTTATTTCAACACAATCTTTGATTTTATCTAAATAATTGTTTACAGCAGAAATGGTCAATATTTTTTTTCCTCTACCATTTTCTTTTATATTTATCTTTGTTAGTAGTAAAATTTAGTTTTTCTCTCCAGTTCTTGACTCTTAGATAGCTTGACAACAAAATACTCTTAAACTTAGCAAGGAATAGTAAAATTATATAACTAGTTGAAGATCTTTATAATGCAAACCTTAAAACATGAAGCTTAGCATTACATTTGCTGTTATATAGATCATTTCACATTTCATTAAGCTTCCTATCAAACGTTGTAATATAGTTCTGGAACAGATTAATGTGTAAATGCTTTAAAATAATTTTCAGGTGCAAATTAGTTTAAAATACAAAAACATTCACTCTAAGAATTTCTTGATTATGGGGAAAAGATCAATTTATCTAGAGCATTAGAATTAACAACAAAAAAATATAACAATTTTGGTTTGCTTCAGAGATTGTAACCTTTTTGCAAATAATTTTTCATGAAAACAATTAATGGTTCTAGGTCAATTTTAGAAATCTCTTGTTTATTATTTTCATTGTATAAACCCTAAAAGTTACTGTAATTTATAAACTCATTACATAGATCTATTTTGTTACATTTGTCTTTTTTATTCATTTTTTTTTACCTTTTTATTTTATTTTGCTTTTTTTGTACTAGTTTGCTTAAAGTATTATATGTAGTCTTCCTTTTTCATCTGTACAATTGCTTTTGATGAAAACTTTTATATCTACATTAAAGCTTTTATCATCCTTCAATGAATAACGAGGACTTAACTTACTACTGTTATGTTAGAACATTTAATTATGAAAATTCTATTCTCACTTTATGTATGAAAATTCTATTCTCACATGTGTCTTTTATGTTGCATATTGAATTATAAAAAATATAATTAGTTTCCTGCCAGAATAATTTTCCCCTTGCTATTCCGGTTTTCGTACTTAAACAATAAAAGTTGTAAAAAAGATTTCAAAAACCTAAATAAATGTCTTGTAAATAAATTGCACCTTGTGCCTAGATATGTAATAAAATACTTTGGCAAGCTACGTAGTTCTTATATGGTGAACTATTTGGACGCCAGATAAAAAGAAAAATGCATATTCTGTAAAATTCTTTTTATTTTCAATCTAAATACATCTAACGCAATGCATGAAGCAAATTTTCAGTTATTATTTTTCCTAATCATATTTATTCCCCTGCTACTTTTTTGTAGTCTTTTATTATTACTTCTGATTGTTTTTCCATCCAAATAAATTTTCCTCCCAGTAAATGTTCAAGCTTCTTTTGTAGAATTTCAGATTGTTTACAACATGCTTTTTCAAGTGTATCTGCTATAGTATTTGCACAATACATGCTGTGAAGTTGGATCACTATATATAAAGCTTGATTGGCTTTATCAACTTTGCTGGATGTTGTTTCGACAATAACTAATGAATTCATCTTACACTTGAAACATTTCAGATCTTTATAATAAGCACTAAATATAACGACGCCTTTGGACTCTTTCCCAATGTTTTGAAGAATAGCGATATGATTATTTGTTAGACATAAATAATGGTTATTAACATAATGATAAGTAACGTGGTTATGATAGATTTTATACACAAGTTTTTTGCAAGGTATACTATTTTTAAGTGATATCATTTCGCTTACTTTTACCTTTTCTTGCAGAAGTGGTAAAATTGATTCTTTTTTAAGACTAACAGAATTATATAGACACCTAAAACGAACTAATTGCTTTACATTGTAAAGTTTTATTTGTTCTTTTGTTTCTATTTTTATACTTATACTATCGGTTAAATTTAGAATATCAATTGAGATGCGTTCTAACTGATGTAGACTATGCATAAAATTTTTATACTCAGAATCAATTAATGTAAGTAAATTTGTATAATTTTCAATAATAATTTGTTGGCATTTTGTTAAATAAGTTTGAATAAGTAATTCTGTGTAATGATTTCTGAAAGTTTCCCACAGAATTCTTTCAGTGAAGTTTTTTTCTTTAAAGATCGTTTTATAGAATAAAACTATCATATCTAATTCAATATAGGTTGACGTATACGTATCTGATTGTAAAATATTGAAAAGAACTGAACCGTACGTATCTAATAAATTAATAACTTCATGCTCATTCCTACTTTCAGCATAAAATCTCGCTATGGAATTTAATAGCCACAATAAATACCTCCTTAATTCGTTTTCGTTGGAAAGAAAGCTAGTTACCATAGCCATTATTGTACAATTGAGCTTTATGTATTTATTTGCTTTGCTATTTATATATTTGTCTTTTGATAAGAAAAAACTGCAAATGAATTTTTTAAATTTGCAATCATTTACGGCGTTTAATGTTATTCCTAACAAAATAAAAACAATTTTGCTGTTAGTAAATTCTTTATCGTTTGGTATTAATCGCAGAAGAGGAATCATAATATCAATCATAAGACATGTTCGAACTCTGTCACTAATATTTTTCTCCATGTTTAAAATATCATCTATAAATTCCATCTCTTCTTCATAACGATTATATGCGGCTTTCAAATTATGATTTCTACCACTGATAGTGAGTTTTCGAATACTCGTTATCGTTTGGCTAAAAAATAAAATGATATTTTTAATAAAAATTGGAACCAAAAATCTAGATATTTTCTGAGCGATTGATCTGTGGCAATTCTTGATCAGATTGAGCAAGCTCAGTTTTGCAACACTTCGTATCATATTATCTTGATGGTAAATATAGTGAATTAAAGGCTCTAAAATCGTATAGATTTGTTGTTTAGTAAAGCATGTTTCATTTAAAGTATTTGGTGATAGTTCTCGTATTAAAATATTTATGGAAGATATATAAGATCCGATTGCATCTTCGTTGTCAAGATCATATTTTCTCAAAAGTAAATCCTTAAAGTATTTGCATGACAGCGTCATATTTGTTTCTCTTGAATATGCAGTGTGAATGTTTAATCGCGATTTGACTTATTCCTTTCCCGAAATTAAAATTTTGTTGATCATTTGTGTAACTCTATTTGAAATATGATTCCTCATTTCAATGTGTAACTACTTTTTTTTAAATTATCTTTTCAGAGTTAGATGTTACAGCAAGAATCATAATTGTTCTTTAATTTAGTATCAGATATTTCCTAATATTTTTCTGAACTATTTACATTAAATTTTTAAAACTGAAAGGGTAAAAATTTGATTTTTTTTTTATGATTCATGCTTTAGGAAACCACTAATTGAGTACTTGCAACTCAAGAAGAAGTGGAGTACTAATTATGACTTGCCATGAGATCTAAATCAGATTTACCTGTAAGCGACATCACGTGTATGTGTCGAACCTGATTGACTTCTGAATCGACAAATGCTACAATTTAAGGATGAAATGACGTCACTTGCAAGTCAAACTATGGTCACATGGGTCATCCAATCAGATTCGACTCACGCGCATGACGTCGTTTGCAGTTTTCCAATTAAATATGATCCGGAAATTGATTCAGCGTGACAATAAACCTAAACCTTATTCGCGATCCCAAACGCTCGAATATGCCATCTGGAGAGAAGACTGGTTCATGTCTTGACCGTCCCCCCTCATTTGTATGGGAATGTGCTACGGTATTTTCCCCTTAAATAGCATTTTTCATAGTTAATTGTCAAAAATATTTTCTAAAATTTCCACGACGCTTTCTTTTAGAACTATTTTTAACGCAGTTTTTGTTTCTATATAGTTTCCTAACCTAAAAGCTTTTAATTTATTTGAAAATCAAGACAGCAAAAACTAACATACTTCATTCTCCTATGATCGTCCACACGCTGATGGGGAAAACATACACATACTATTAAATTTTTAACCAAAGTAAATGAAAATTTATAAAGTTTTAAAAATCGCCATTTAAAGTTTGCAAAGTCTTAATCTATACATATTTTGCCAAGAGCAGTAAATTTCATATTTTACACAATTTAGGACTAAAAATGGTCCAGAAAAGTAATAAACCTTATAATCCGTTTTGAAAGAAAGTGCAAAAACTAAATTTGTTTCCAGGCGATGTGCTGCCGTCACACAGTTTAACGGATTACCGTTAAAGCGGCAAAAAATAAAGGTATCAGAGTGGATTTAAATGTTCAATTCTTGCATACGAGGTTGACTTTTAAGTTAAAAAATTCTGAAAATATTCTCTTACATGGCATATCTAAATCCAGGGTGCGTAGCAAAATCTCTCGACAAAGAATAAGCACCTTTTAAGCACTCAAAAATATTTTTAAGCACTATATGCATAAACAAAATAATTTACACAGACTTTATGCGATCATGATAAAATAACTAGTTTATGACAAAGAACTCTTTTCTTGATTATATTAGCCATTATAAAATAATCCAGAGATTTTTCGGTTCGATTTTAGAGGGTGAAAAATGAAGCATGAAATAGAGAATATCTTGCAAAATACATCAGAGTTGCACATAAGAGTGCAATAATCTCACCAAACCCAGCTCATAATACGTGACGAAAATCGACCTGGTAAAGAAAAAAATCTTATTTTCGAAAAAGCAAAATTAAGCACATTTTAAAAATACCCCATGAAAAAAGACCCTTTAAGGGCTTTTAAAAAACGAAGATCGAAAATAAGCACTTTTTAAAAACGCTACGCACCATATAAATCTATTACCAGTTTTTATAATATATTTTAAAAATATCTAAGAATTTAGGTAGCGATTTGAAGATAAGACTATATTTCGTAGCTAATTTCAATTAGCTCTTTAAATATCAAAGCAACTTGCATATGAGTGGCTTGCATATCTATTACCCTACAAGGCTTTTTATATGCTAAATGCTATATTTTTTATTACTTTCATTTAAACCAATTTATAAAAAGATATTAAAGTTGTAAATGTAATGGGAATTAATTCTCAATTTTCATATATTTCATTATTATAAACTAAAAAAATGCATCCCAAATCTTAAATTCTTTTAGAAATTAAATTTTATTGTTATTATTATGCAATGAATCACAAAGTTTAGCCTCTCAGTCTAACGTAACAATATCATTAAAAGAAAAAAATAAACTTCTCTTTTTCTTTCCACGAAAAATGATTTCCGTTAAACTGAATGGTAATAGCAGCAGGATCCATCAACATGGTTGTCTCGACGTCATTTTTTATTAAATCTATAATCTCGTACTATTTTTAATCCAGGGTTTGAGATTCACAACTGGCATGTAGAAAGATTTAAGTCAAATAAACCACTATTTTGAGGAAATGTTACCGAATATCTCTTTGTTGCTAGTCATTTGAGAAAAGCTTAGTTTCCTCCTAAAGCGTTTTTTTTTTTTCTGTCAGAGCAATTTTGCCAAAGGTAAAAGACTGAATGCAGAGCTTAGAGGGTAGAACAACTGGCACATAAAAGTGGCTAATAATTTACAATTATGAAAAAAAATTAGTTCTTGCTGGGTAAATAGATATATGTATTTAAATAATCAAATAAAATGTTTACAAAATTTTTTATTAAAAACAAAAATGTATCACCAATTACATACTTGCGTTATATGATAATTGAGCAAAAGAAAATTTCTTTGAAACGAAAGTAAACATAATAAAAATATTCATGCATATACATTATTTTAATAATTCATATTATGGTAATTTTATGAGTTGAATTCATGTGAGAGATTAGCAAAAGATTTAAGGATACATAAATTTTAATATGCCCTGTATAACTGATTTTATAAATCTTTGAAAATTATAAATAATATTAAGCTTTACTTTTTATTGGAATTACATGAAAAAATGATCCATTTTGTTTAAAATTAAACATAATCCTTTAGGGAATTAATGTTTTGTTTCTGATGTATTTTTTATTTATTTAATATAAATAATATATTTTCAGAAAATTCAAATTTTGTCCGATTCTTATTAATATTGTTGGAACTTCAATATTTTCAAATACCAAATTGCAATGTATATTATGTATCATGCTAAGAACTGCACAAATGAACAATTTTGTAATAATTGCTCACTAACTAAATATTCAACAAAATTTAAATATTTAGCAATTTATTAATACAATTCATACAAAATATTTTAAAATCTGGGACTGATCCTTTAACTGTTAAAATGCATCCATAAATAAGGAATAGGATTTACTGAACATTCATTCATAAATTGACAACTTAATAAAATATATACAACATGTTTTTCAATTTTTTTAATAACAATAATGTAATAATAGTGTAACAACAAATAATTAACAAAAATTTGAAAAGAGCACAGAAAGTTTATTATACACCAAGTGTTCTTAAGTTTTACTCATGCAAAATAATAATAATAATTTCAATATGTAAGTATTTTTTGTCTGCGATGTTTTCTTCCTATAATATATCCTTTGTATATAAAATTATAATGATATAAAAAAAAATGAGGTCCTAAATGTACTCAACCACAAGTTGATAAATAAAATCTGAATATTTTTTACACAAATTTTAGTATAATTTTGTAAAATATTTTTGGTTAGAATTTATTTTATGTAAAATATATAATAAATTTATTAACTATTTTGGCATATGGTGGGCTTTCTTATTTGAAAAATAACATTTAATTAGAAATCATAAGATGAACATTTTTATATTCATTTATTGCGATATGCAAGTTTTTGTATTTTATAATGTGTGTTGAACAAAGAGAATAAATAATAAAAACTAACAAATATTAAATAAAAAGTTGTTAATTTTATCATATAAAAAGCTTTTAATTGTTTTTAAAATACTAAGGAGTTGAGGCACTAGCTAGCTTTTCTCACCAGACCTCATGAGTATTTCATCTTTGTTTTAGGTTGTCAAAGAGATGAAAATTCTATTGTTTGTATTGTAGTATAATTATATAATCCTCAAAAATAACCTGCTGCAATGTTTAATAGATATAAATTTGAAAATCTAGAGATTATATAGTACATGTTGCTTTGGAACTTACTTTCCTTCCCTTGCCTAATTTCAACAAATTCACAATAAAAACAACTTTATTATATTATACTTAACAATATCAAAACATTTACTTTTAGTCATTTAAACAGAAATGATAATGGTAATGAAAAAAGTACTTAATGTATTCCCTGATTATCACACCCCTGTTGTAATGACAGATAAATAAAAATGTTTTTAAAAGTAATACATTCAATAAATGATAGTTAATACATTCAATTTAAAATTCTTTTTTTCTCCATCTTTCGCTTTAATTTTTTTAAAAAAAATTAATTTTATTTAATTACATAAGTAGTTTTGCATAGTATAAATTTAATAGAGATTTGTAATCATACAAGTTATTTCATATAAAAAATGCTACATTTTATTGCCGAGATTCTTTATTTACTTTTAGTATCAACAATTTCTATCTCCCATAAAACATAAAATGGCAGTAGGGATATATATGATCATTATTTAGAGTAAAAAGTGAAAATAAATCTTTGTAGTGCAATGAAAGCCACACAAAACAAAATTTTTGAACATTTGACTGATGCATACGAGATCCTATTTCATTTCCAACTTTTTAAGTATCAATTCTGTAACTACATTTTCTAGCCTGTGTACACCACACTCCTTTATTAAATTATACTACTAATTTGATATCAGTGAAACTTGTAACTAACTAATTTTAAAAATTTTATTGCATGAGATATTTTTTTAAAGAAAAATTTGAGATAGAACTAAAAGCCTATATGAGAATCTGATCAAAAATAACTAAGATATACAGACTGAATTCACCTGTATTATAAAATATATCCTATACAATTACTTTCAGAAACAAATAGTCAATTGGCAATATAATAAACCTTCGAGATCTTTCATAAAATTTACAAAGAGTAAAACTTATTAAGCAATGGGTACAATAATTCTACAGTAATAATACACTTATTCTTAGAGAACCTTTTTGAACATTTTTGCAATAATTTGTCAATAAATAAGTACATATGTCACTTAAAAGTTATTAAATGTTCATAATTTTAAATAGTTTGGTTTTAATAGTCAATATAACAATATTTACTATAAATTAGATTTTAAAATTAAGAGCCATTTTTGAATCAAAGAAGAAGAATGTAACAAATTTTGAAAAGCATTTTGGCAACATAATTTGGAATGCAATAATATTAGTACTTAAAATGCAATTTAAAAAAACTACAAATTCGATAATTATATAGAATTTGTAAAATGTATCATACAGTTAAAAAATAAATGCACAAGCAAATACATGTTTAACAACCACAATATATTTTTTGATATGTTGCTTAAATATAAAATTGTTAACAATTTTATACATATATTTTAGAGATCACATTTATTTTCCTCATGGAGGAAAGTTACAAGAATGATTGATATTTACATCGACTAGGATTTTTCATCAAGAGAATATGATACATATCACACAGCAAATTTTCTTGATTAATAAGTTGGAATAAGCAATTTCATCATGATAATTGAATTTGATTATTTTATGTAATTAATCAAAACTATTTAGACAATTAATTGAAACTGTAAAATAGATATAAATTAATAAATAATAATGCAGTTCATTTATTTTGAAGCAATTGTATCTCATTAATATTTAAACATTGAAAGTTAGTTAATCAATTTAATATTGGTAAAATAAAGTCAAAACTGTTAGATGATATTCTGAAAAGTATACTTGAAACAAACCTAATCACCTTTATACCAGACCCTTGAAAGTATACAATATAATGCTCTGTCACCACAATGAGAAATCTTATGTTACTCTTGCATGATTATACATTCTTAAATCAGAAACAACAAAGCTGATATAGATACTAGTTAGTAAAAAGTCCAGATATAATTATAAAGAAATAAATCAGAATGTGCTATAAATATTTGTATTGAATGTAAAAAGGAAAAATATATACATAAATTCAGTTAAAGAATCAAGAAAAGAAATTAAATGATTAACCAACAGATAATCATTGTTACCAAGTAATATTTTTTACTGTCACATACTCCTGTTAATAAGCAACAGTTAGAAGCATAAAAATAGTCTCTTCTTATTTAAATCAAATAAGCATTTTTTAAATAAAGGACATGTATTTTTGAAAAGATCAATACACAGTTAGTTAATATTCATTTGTTCCCAATTAAGAATTAGAAAAATAACTTCATTTCAGATCTAAAACATAGAGAACACATAAATTTGTAATATAAATTTCACTTCATAAAACAATTGAAATAAAAAATAATCTACAAAACATACTAGCAATTTAGTGTATAGATTTTTAGAATTTTAACCTTCTGATTACAACTGGTACAACAAGTTGACCAGAATGACAGACTTCACCAGGCTAAGCACAGTAAACAAATGGTTAATATCCAAATAATTATAAATGAGAATATGTTTCAATAGAAACACATAATATATACAAACTCTACATCACCTAAATAGGAGACAATAACACTTTATCATGTTTAGATATCTTTTTGGCACAAAGCATGCATGGCAATGAATATAATATTTCTTTGGGATCTGGTTGAGTACAAACATAAATGCAGAAAAATATTTGAAAATAAAATAAAGCAAAAATAAATAACCACAAAGTGAAGGGTACATCTGGCAAATGCTTCCACAAAGAAATCCAATGAGAACTACCACTTTTCAAGCCTATGGATGAATGGTGAACTTTATTATGTTCAAGTGCAAGAGTGTTATATTGATCACTAATTTCAAAATAATAATAAATAGCCAAAAGTGACAGTAGAAGGTATAAAAATAAAATAATCCAGGCTAATCTCTGACGAAACTTCATGGTTGCACTGTGCCATAACTACATCCTCATATACCTGAAAGTAAACAAATATATATATTATATTGAATATATCATATTTTGTTGTTAACAAAAAGTAAGTCAAATAAAAAATGGTAAGAAGTAACAAGGTAACATATAAATGTTTAGAAATCTTAAGACTATTTTGCAGTAAAAAGTCAATGCAATTTCTGCTTAATTTAATTGAAATTGGTAAAAGATCATAAAATCAGAGGACTGTAAAAAAAAAATTGCACTTTATTTTTAAGCACTATTCTACAAAACGCAAACAAGATTTTTTTTTTTTTTACTTACATAAATATAGAATACGTACAAGTTGAAAATAGCTTAATTATTCCTTTGAGCCATAACAGTGTTTTCACTACAGAGCGAGAAAGCGAGAATCTCGCATATTTTTTTCTCTTCTCGCAATAAAAAATTATTAACGTGAGAAGTTCGCGCACTCTGTTAATCAATTTCAAAATGCGCAAATTTTGGAAAAAAATTTGTCTTTCGCCATTTTGAATAAAACCCGTTTCACTTTTCTTCCTTGATCTTTCATTATTTTGAACATCGGTCCTTGTTATCTAGCTTCCCTATTTAACAGTATATTTCAGATCCGGTGCAAACAGCAGACCACAACTCACCCGAATCCCTTTCAGAACACATTTCTCTGCAACCACCTGGTCACCGTAGGTAAGGTCTCTTCATGTAAGATGGATAAATACCTTGTTAAGGCAACATCTTCTACTCCGTAACAGACAAATGAAAATGAAACAAATGTCGGTAGATACGCTCAAAACGAAACGAATACGGATATTTTTCAGGCAAATAAATATTATAGCTGATGAAAAAGTAGATATAGAACATTTTCCATATGATGATGCAGCAAAAATATTCAATTAGAAGATGTTAAAAATGTATTATAATTAAAGAAATAATTTTTTTCCAAGTCTATTCGTGTTTTCTTAATTTTTAGAAATTAAGAAAACACGATTTAATTTTTTTTAAATCTCACCCTGTTTTTGAGAAAGGGTAAGAAATTCTCTCCCATTTTTTTTCTGTAATGAAAACACTGCATAACAACAAGAATAATAAAAGACTTCAATAACAATAGGTCAAAAACATTGGGCTATATTTGGAAAATAACTAAATTCAGATTTTGGTATTCAGAAATCCTGAGAAATTCCAAGCTAAAGTGAGACTGCAGATTAGATGGTAAAATAGCAGTGAATAAGATTAGAAAATTTAAATATAGAGCAGCAATGCGGACAAAAAATAACCGCGAGGAGTGTGTGGTTGAAGCATTAAAGCCTGCAAGAAGTTGTTATACTTGTAAAAAAGAAGTAAAGCGAATCATACTACATAATGCATACAGTATTAAAAAAAATTGAATTAGAAAAAAAAGCTTTTTAAGCTTTGTACACTTAGTATTCTTTAAAAAAAAATTTTATAACACATTTTTAACTTTTTCCTTGAAAAAAAAATTGGTATTTTCTTTATATAGAAATTATATCTTTAATTTTTTTTTAATCTTCTTCTTGGGCACAACAGTCTATGACAAGCCAAGGCCGTCCCAATAAGTTTTTGCCATCTTGATCTAAATTTTTTTAAATAAATCTCTGAATTAGGTTGGTTCTTAACAAGTTTTAGTAAGAGAGAATTTGAAATAGAAACGTTAAAAGAATCCCATTCTTTTTTGTCAATGACTTAAAGAATTTTCATGTTACAATTTTTGTCTCTTTCTCTTCTTTTTTTCAGCATTTATTGAAATCAGCTTGAAAAAGTTATTAAATTTGGAATACACATATTGGTTTTACAGTTTTAAGCTACAAAATTTTCAAGACTAATTATGTAGATTTCTTCCAAGGTATGAATGAAGATTATGTAACCAAGTTCATAAAAGTCTTATTGCTTCATAAGCAGAATCGAACGCTTTAAATTGACACTTGTATATAAATAAAATATTTCACATTTTCATTTAAAGACAACTTATTTATTTAATCAAAAAGAAAAAATCTTAAGTATGATACGAGTAAACAAAATTCTTATTTACTTATAAGGTACCAAATTTTAAAGATAAACTAAACTTGGAAAAATTAAACCATAGATCTTACAATGAATAAATTTCTCAGTTTCTTTTAAGTGATGCAATAACAAAGAATGTATTGTTTTCACGCAACATAATCTAAAACAGTTTTCTCAAGAAAATAAATGATTTAAAATGTTCAAGTGAATGTGTTGCTAACAAAATGCCACAGCTTAATTGGTAAAAGCTAATTTCGAATCGTCACGAACACAAATTCTTTTTATTTGATTAAGATCCACAATTTTCTTACAAAACTAAATGAAATTTACTTTATCACGATTTTATGAGTGGCACAAACAATAAAAACACATTAATCATCTTGGATCTGTTTGTTTACATTAGACTTCACGTGAAAATATAACGGTTAAGGTTATAATTGTGATGATAAGCAAAATCATCTGCTGAAATTACTGCGAAAACTTGAATAACACATAATAATTAAATATTCTTTTCTAGTTAGATCAAAGTAATCGTTAGGGTACTAATTTTCATCATGTCATGAATTAATAAGTCTTTGGATGAATAAGCCTATTTGACATCTCTTAGCTGCACAGAAGTAAAAAGCCCAAAAGCGTAAACAATAATTAAAAAATAAGAACGATGCAAAGTCAACGATTATAGACAATTAAAGATTTAGATTAGTTACTGTGAAAGGATAAATGAAAGATATTTTTTGTTGCACCATAAGCACTATTTTTTAGAGGAATTCACAGATTCTATTCATTTCAAGATTCGATACTTTATACTTCCTTATTTTGCCGGTATTTATTGTTTTAATTTTTGATAACTTAGTATAAGGGATATTTCATTTCCTTGCCTAATCGCAATAACTGAAAACCCTAAAATGCTATTATGTTTTTGGAAAGTGACATATTTTTTATAACATTCAGAATATTTACCAAGTCCTGGCAACTTTCGGGTAGGCCGGCTAGAAACTAAAAAACAAAAATAACTTCTCAGAAGGGGACCTAACTCGTAACCACTCTCAGGCAAACCTCTTCATATATATATATATTTTTTAAATTAAGTTGGTGCTTTGGCAATTGTAGTTAGTGTGACAGAAATATCCCATAGGATTGAAAAATATTCCCAGAACCAAATATTTGCATAAAACATTTTTTTTAAAGAATTCCTTTAATTATATGGCATTTTTTTTTTCTAGATAAAAAAATCTTTTTAAAAATAGTTTTTGAAAGTGAAATTTGTGTATTGTTAAAATATTTTGATAATAATTTTTTTTAACAAAAGGAAAAAAATTTCATTTGATTTTACACATTTCTGAAATAAAAGTGTTTTAAAAATGATAGAAATCAAAACATGTACTTTTCGGTTAGCCAGGCACAACAAAATTAAATTATTTTTTTGTGAACATTCATTTTATTTAGTGAAAAAACAAATAAAATAAAAATAAAGGGAAAAAAATGTGCAATATTTCGCCAACCGAAAATTGCCTTAAAATATATTAAAATAGTTCCTATAGTTAATAGAAATATATATAAGTCATATAGAAATTTAATTTATAAACTTAAGGAATTTAAACTAACAATCAAATTTACTTAGAAAGTTATTTGTGTTACATTTAACATAATAGAAAATATTCTTACTCTTTTAAATTAGTAGTTATTACTTTTTCCCATCATCAATTCTTGTAAGATTTCCTGCTGCAATCATGAATTTTCATTCCAATTTACAAGGAAAATTTTTGCTGTGATTTCAGTGATTTTTCCCAAACCATACTTTGGCATATTTTGCATTCCTGCCTAGTTCATGCTAATATGTATTTATGTCTGCATGCATTCAGCATAGATAGAATTATTATTTTTTTTAAAAATTCTTTATCGATTTAATGGATTTCCAAGTTTCTGATTGATTAGAATGTAAATTTACTCATTCAAAGTTATTTATTGCTATATTTATTCTAGCAAAGAAGGAATATAATGAATAATTTTTATTAGTAATTTACTAAATCAATGTCAAACTATCTAATTTATTAAAGATGAAATGTGAAAAAAATGAATGTTTCACAATGTGATTTGATCTAGAGTTTTCTAATGGCTTAACTCTACTGTAAAGCATAATTTATGTATCTTTCAAAGGACTGTTATTAAACAATAGAAAAATTAACAGTTGTAAATTCAGAATTTTAAAAATCAAATTTTTTTACTAAAATTTAACTCAAATATGCATAAAGACAGTAATTTTTAAGTTTCTAGGATTGTATTACTGTATGTAGTATTTATAATTATAACAATAGTATTAGATAGCACCTATTTAAAGTTAAAAATTAGACATTATTGAAAAAATTTAGCCTTTGTTGTAAATTTTGAATATTTTATTTTACGCAATTTCTCTATAAATATATACACATATAATTAACATCATCATTCTTAAAAATTTTAATAACAAAACCAGTGAAATTAAAACACAGGATAAAAATGGAGAAATATTGACTAAAGCAAAATATATTTTGTAAATCTTAAGAAAGACGTGACATATAAATGATGTTTTTTAATGTAAAAATGAAGTACTTTACCATTGGAATAGATATATAAATATAAAACATACAAATAAAATTTTGCTTCTTCATTTAAAAAAAAAAATTTTTTATATATACAGTAAAACCTCGCTACAACAATATTTTGCGGACCAAATAAGAATATTGTTGTAGAGGGATATATTGTTATATCGAGGGCCCACATAATTCTGGGACGCAATAAGATTTTTTGAAATTTAATGTTATATATTCATTAACTATAAATATATTTATATATTATCGAAAAAATTAATTTGCAAAGTGTTTATTACGGTTAAGCATTAAAAACAATGGATATAAATACAGAACATAAGATTGTAAACTTACCTTTAAAAAAAATTTTATTGAAAAAAATCCGATATTTTTGTTTGTTTATTCATTTTTCTGACTGTTAAGTCAACCAACAAAGTATGCATAGAGTCCAATGCCCGAAAATGATTTTCATTTGTGAATGGAAGACTTGAGAAAAATGTCTTTAGAGATTTTACGGATTGAAGAGCTTCAAGGGGTGACAATACGGACTGTGATACACATGGATCATCATCACCATCTTCTTCCTCATCATTATTTTCCATTTCATCCGTAATTTCAGAGATAATCTCTTCATCACTAACTCCTGCGAAAATTGTGAGATCGTCATCGGCAGTTAAATAGTCCTCCACGTTAACACCATATGTTTTACCCATTTTTTCCTGAAGTTGGGATAAAGATTTTTGAAGATTCAAAACAAATTCTTGATTATCTGAAAGATCACTGTCTGTGAAATTTTCTTCACTATTAGAAGCAATTTCATCTTCCATGACACACAAATCGGCCTTTTTCCAACAATTTTGAATAGTTTTTCTGTTACCTCCCACCAACTACCAGCAATAATATCACATGCTTCCTTGACATTCACAGTTTTAAAAGGATCTTCTACTTTATTTTCGATGTTGACAAGTATCGATTCAACCAAACGCTTCCTGTAGTATCCTTTGAAACACTTGATTATTCCCATGTCGAGTGGCTGCAAAATCGAAGTGCAGTTGGCCGGGAAATAAACGATTTCGACGTTGTGTAGTTTTGGAATTGAGGTGTGAGCGGTGCAGTAATCAATTAATAAAGCAATTTTTTTCTTCCTCTTTTTCATTTCTTTATCTAACATCAACAACCATTCAGAAAAAAACTTAGAAGTCATCCAAGCTTTTTTATTGGCTTTATATTCCACGGGAAGACTTTTCACATTCTTGAAACACCTCGGCTTCAATGATTTGCCGATAACAAGAGGTTGAATCTTGTGTGTCCCTGTGCTATTGGCACACAGAAGAACAGTCAATCTCTGCTTTGATTTTTTTCCGCCGTAACATTTTTCACCCTTAAATGCCAATGTTCGATCGGGAAGGAGTTGAAAAAACAGCCCAGCTTCATCTGCGTTATAAACGTTCTCTGGTTTATACTTTTGAAGAATATCTGTCATCTTCTCTTGCTTCCATTCATTTGCTTCGTTAATCGGAGCAGATTTTTTCTCTCCGTGAACTTCCTGGAAAGTTATTCCATGTCGATCCCGAAAACGCATTAGCCAACCATTACTAGCTTTAAAAGTTTCGTTCCCTAGCATTACTGCGAATTTACGTGCTTGTGTGCATAACAAGGGCCCATTTATCGGGATATTTGTTGCTCTCATCTCTTGAAACCATTTTAAGACGGCAGCATCAATGTTTTCATTAGTTGCGACTTTTAGTCGTTTACGCTTTGGATTAATTAAATTTGAACTTACAGTATCTTCGATCTGTTTTCTTTTCTTTAGAAACGTTGCAACTGTAGATTGAGATAATCCGTATTTTCTAGCTGCATCAATCTGTTTCATTCCATCATCAATATCTTTAATAACGTTAAGTTTATCTTGAAATGAAAGTTGCTTTCTCCCTGCCATCTTATGCTAAATTACACTAGTAAAAAATATCCAATACACTGAAGACTCACCAAGCTGAAAATGTTAGCAGCACTAAATGCGAAAAGTTCTGATCGTAGAATTTGCGCTAGCTCATGAAAACACCAGGTGTAGTTTAAATCAGGGATTAAGTGACAGTGATGAACGATGACCAATGGTCAGTATACATTTTTTTCTCCTCCTCAATTTCAATAAACGTGCTCCACCCACCTTCTACAGAAACAGTACCTTCTCAGGGTCGCAGGTGTTACTGTGATGTGTGTGGTCATTTATGACTCATGATGTTACAATGGTGATTTCTTAAGAACTGAGGGAGGCAATTCTAAAACATGAAGCTCTTAGGGTGGTCTAAGTACCTCAACAGTGGGGGAATGAAATTTGAATACAAAAGCCATTCTCTGATGTGCAAAGAAATAACAGTGGGGTGAAAGATCATAACCAGCAGTGACCCTTTTATCAGAAAAGATGAAAAAAATGGTAAAAGATGACAAAAAGGCATTTTACATTATTTGAAAACCAATAAAAAAAAAGAAGAAAATAATGTTGAAATTTGAAAAAAAAATCGTTTTACAGAGGTTTACTGCTTCAGAGAATATCGTTATATTGAGAGGAAGATAACATTAATCCATATGCAAGTTTGGCGGGACCACGGAACATTATCGTAATAGAGGGAGTTCACTGTATATATATACATGGTTATTCATAATTCTCTCCAGGATTTCGAACCGTTATAGTAAAAAAACGAAGACGAATATGGCAAAAAAGAACATATGAAATTATTCCGAAAGTATTCAAGTTTTAATTTAATATGGATAACATGTGATGCATGAAAGGATAACACGTGCTATCAATAACATAGACAGTACCCTGTTGAGTAGAGTATGGCAGGAACTGCACTATCACATTGATGTATGCCGTGTGACCAAGGGTTCACACATAGAACACAACGTATGTAAGTAAAACTTGAATAGTTTCGGAATAATTTCATATGTTTCTTTTTTTCATATTCGTCTTCTTTTTTTTAACTATAACGCTTCGAAACCTCAGAGGGAATTATGAATAACCCTGTATATATATATATATATATAGCAAATATTGTTTAAAAAAAAATTTTTTTAGCAGGACATTATTGTATATTACATTAAGTTTGAAAGCCAACTTTCTGCGCTTTTTTTTTCGCTTTATTTTAAGTATTTTATCTGTAAAAAAAAAAAAATTAGTCAGTTTTGAAATTTGTTAGTTTATTTGTAAAGCTAGTTTATTATTTTTTTTCTACTCACTAAAACTTCATTGTAGACATTAAATTTAAGATTTGAAATTTGTTACTGAGGTAACATATCTGTTAAAGGTTGTAATTTAAGAATATTCTCTTTTTTTCATACTTAAGTTTTAACTTCATGATTATCTGTATGTTGCTTTCTTTGATCATAAATATTTCATTAGTTAAATTCAGTTTTCCTTTTTTATTTTCAGAAAATAATCCCCGATTATGGCTACTGTTTCAGCTCGACTTTCTATAATTGGAGAAACATCTTCTGGTGAACCTGACCAAGATGCTAATTCTGCTCTGACAGAACTTGATAAAGGCATTTTTTTTTCTATTATGTTCTTTATTATTATTAATCATATTGTGAAACACTCATTATATATCATATAATAGAACATACAAATAACTTTCAGAAGTTAATTTTATATATATTACCCTATTTTTTAAAGAGGGTACCCTATTTACATACCCTATTTATTACCCTATTTTTTAAATAGGGTAATATATATAAGATGAACTAGCATAAGACAATATTCTGAAAGGAATCTAAGTGTCAACTTACTTACAGATTGCACCATTTGAATGTAATATTAAGGGTTGACATTTACAATTAGGGATATCTTTTTGCACCTGAAAATATTATTTTCTCTAAATCAGTGTTTCTAAGATGTTAGATTGCAGTAGAAAGCACGTTGATTAAATTCAATACAATGCTTTGAGCTTTTGTTTTTGACAAATGAGTAGGTAAAAAAAAAAAATCCATTCTTTCATTTTCTTTCCAAAGAAACTATAAAAATTAAGAAAGTCTTCTTAGTTAATAAATTCAATCATATTATTGAATGAAAACAATTTCATTATCATTTTATTCATTTAGTTTTGCTAATGAATAGGTAATGGGGATGCCCAAGTGCAAACTACTACTACCAGGGGTCTGTCTAGGTTTTTCTGAGAGGTACCTATTTTGTGAAAATTTAGACATAATTTGTGAAAAATTTAAAATTATATTAAAAAAATCAACACAAAAATATGGATTTATCGTTTCTTAAGGGATACAAAAACAAAATTTTAAGAAAAAGTATTTTGTGAAACTACCGTTTTTCCTTAAGTTGAATTTGTGAAACTACCGTTTTTCTAAAGTTGAATTTGTGAAGGTACCGCTAAACGGTAGTAAATTCGGCCTGGACAGACCCCTGACTACAGTGTACTACTAAGTGTACTACAACTGTGCAAACTATAATCTAATGAGTTATTGCATAAGTTGTGTTTAAACCTTTATGAACCTTTATGCATAAGTTGTGTTTAATCCTTTATTTTTTTTTATATTTTAAATGCAATTATACATTTAAGCATTTTTATCATTGTTTAACTTAATTATCCACTCTCTTACAGTTAAAAATGTAGCATTAGAAAATGTTTGCTTGTTTTGTATAATAAAGCATCATTACTATATACTTTTTTGCAAAATGTTGATCCACGTTTTTGTAGTTAATTTCTATTTTTGCATCATTTTGCTTATATATTATTTATGCACAAATCATTTCATAACTAAATTCAGAAAAAATATTTGACCAAACTAATATATTATTTTTAAACTTCGTATTCAGCAAGATTGGTCAATAGAATATCTGGTGTATCCCTAATACATAATGATTATAGAAATTGTTAGCACTTTCTGTCATAAAAAAAAGTTATGAAAAAGGATTGAAATTAATTTATATTATTTCTGTCTTCTTATGAATTCTGTTTATCATATTTTATGATCAAAAAGCAAAAATTTTAAATACATCTTCAATACATTAAGATTAAAAAAAAAAATTTAAGTGAAACCAGTTAAAATTATAGTCTTTTATAAATGAATAAAAAAAGCAGTCCTAGTTTAAGCCTAATTGAATTATTTTAGATTTATTTTAAGTGGTGATTTTTATTAAAACCAAAATGTAGATGGCAGACACCTGAGATCACATGTTCAAATTTTATGCTGTTCTGGCCCAAGCTCACCCTGCAAGAAGTTCACTTTTAAACACCCCTTGTATAATTGTATTCATAATGGTGAAACATAAAAGAAATAAGTGCACAATTGCATTCATAATGCTGAAGCATTGAAAAAAATTATATAATTGTATTAATAGTGCTGAAACATTGAAAAATAATTGCATAATTATATTCATAATGCTGAAATATTGAAAAAAAAATCACATTAAATTGTTCATGAAATAAAAAAATTTTAAACGGTGAAGTAAAATACTTCAAAATTATATTTTGGAATGAAATCTTAATATTGTCTAGGTAAGAGTTATTCTGTAAATTAGTATGGCCACTTAAATTGTTTATTTTATATATTTTTGATGTTATTAAAATGTATTTTTCAATTTAAAAGTTTAAGAAAATAAAATTTTTGTTTTCGTAAATATGTCTTGCTCCTCTTTTTATTGTAATTTTATATTGTAGGTTTAAGATCTGCTAAAGTAGGTGAACAGTGTGAAGCTATCATCAGATTTCCACGACTCTTTGAAAAGTATCCTTTCCCCATTTTGATAAATTCAGCCTGCTTGAAGTTAGCTGAATTATTTCGCACTGGGTATAGCACATCTTTTATTTATTTATTTGCTTTATAGTTTTAGTTGTTTTTCTTATCCAGTTTTATGTTTTTATTGTAAAATGATTACTCTCTTTGAAAAGAATTTTTTTACAATTTTGATCAATTCACCCTGCTTGAAATTATCTGCATTTTTCCCCACTGGGTATTGTACTTTTTTGTTTATTTATTTATTTTGTAATTTTAGTTTTTTTAAATTCAATTTCATGTTGTTTTTTTTGTGCAATGATTACTAGTAATGATTTTTCCAATGTGCAATATTTTTTTAATAATTACTTTATGAATTCAAGACATTAATAATTTAAGATCGCTTTGCACAATTTTGTCTATTTCATAATTAAATAATATAAATTTAATTTATAACTATTGATCATTTAATTTATACGAAATTAAATGTATAGCTGGAAATCAAAGTATAAACTATAGATTACAGTTTTTCTTTTGTATTCTACAACAATAGAATTTATAAATAATGGCCTTTAAAGCTCTGCATGAAAAGTCTGCTGTATTAATAAAATTTCTTGGAAAAACTTAAATATAAATATTTTTCTTAGTTGAGGAACAAAGTTCAAGTGTCTTTATCCCTACTATGAAATGGTTTAAATGCATTGAATGTGTTTTTTTTTTCTTTTTGCTCTTAAAAAAATATATTGCACATATTAAAGCATATGATTTTATATAAAATTTATTTCTAAGTATGATTTATAAATTTGTATTTTTTTTTATGTAGTTTTTTCTTGTTTAAAATTTTATCTAGAGTATTTATCTGACAATATGATTTTAAATAGCACCCATTTCCTATTTACTCATATGTAATTCTTTTTTTAAAAAACTAGCCATCTTGTACTTAGTTTTACTTTTAACCTTATTTATTGTTTGTTATGATAAAATTTGTTTCAAATTGATTTTGAAATAATTTATAGTTTGTTTTTCAATTCGTAAAACTTTTATTAAATTTTAAGTTAATTCATTAATTCTAAATTCTAATTAAGCTTTTATTTCTTATGAAGCTTTTATGCAACTTATATTCTCCATTTTATTTTCTAAAAAATATTCTTTATGATTCTAAAAAATGTTGCTTCTTTATGTTGTTTAATTTTTTATTTTAGGACCAACTTCCATAGAGTACTTATTCTACGAGTTATGCAACAAACACAAAAACATCTTGACAAAATTCTTAATTTAGATGAATTTGTTCATCGGTTGTATGCTGTTATCCATAGCAATGATCCTGTGGCTAGAGCACTGACTTTAAGGTTTGTAAAATATTTTTTTTAAATCACTTCACAAATTCACTTCCAATTTTTATAATTATTAAAAACTGTAATAGTTTATTTTTGTGTTAATTTTTTTACCAATTTTAACTAAATCACATTACTAGAAAATGTCACAGCAATTTATAAAATTTTTTCATACTGTGTATTTTTGTGTTTTCATGTATTTTTTGTGTATTTTCTTATATTATTTTATCTTTTCTGTGGGTTGTTTCATAGTTCTTATTATTCTTTTTAGGTTTTTGTATGTTTCCTTTTTTTGTTATTTTTCCTTTTAAAGATAACTTCATGTATTCAAAGAATATAACTACTTCATTTCTTTGAGTATTCATTACATGCCAAATTTTGTCTAATTCAATAGCCTAATATTATTATACATATGAGAAAAAAGGATACAAAATGTAAATGTTTTATTTTGAATAGAATAGAAAATGTAACTGATGTTACATAGAAAGGATATTAAGTAAAATATCATATTTTCCTTTTAAAATTATCCTTCCTCTGTAAGCAATAATGGGATTCTTTAAAAAATGTATTTAAACAAAAACTTCAAATAAACAGGAAACATTGAAAGGACACATGAAATCGCATAGAAAAAAATGGCAAAAAGAGAAGAAAAAATCTTCTGACTGATGGTACAAATAAAACTTTATAAATTTTTATTAAACTTTTTTATTATAATAACGAAATACTAAAAAGCTGCAATTTTTGATTTTATATCTAAAATAATGCGAAAAAAAGAAGAGTTTGTTAATGGAGGGATGCTATTAAATATTTATTTAAAATATTTTTATTGTGTTGTCCTTTGCTTTAAGAAATTGTTCACATTAAGGTTGAAAAGAAAAAGAAATATGAGTGAATACTTTAAAAAAAAATTATAATTTAATCACTTTCCTGTGTATTATAATGGAGCAAAAAGTATATAATTATATTTTTTTGCTCAGTTGGAAATTTGTGCATTCAATAATGAGTAATATATTTTATTTAAATTAAATTTTAGTTCTATTCTCAACAAATAAATTTATTTAAGGAAATCAATTCTTTTTTTAGGACTTTAGGCAATATTGCTAGTGTTGTTGCTGAAAAAAAGAGTATACATCACAGTATAAGAAATAGTCTAGATTCTCATGATGCTGTTGAAATGAAGGCAGCTATTTATGCTACTGGAAAATTTGCTGCCCAATCAAAGTTTGTTCTTTTCATTAGAAGTATCACAAATGAAAATTGCTATAAGATGGATTTTGCAACAACATTTTTGTTTTATTTCTTTAAAAGTATATACTTTCTTGATGATGTTTTTTAACTTAATTCAAATAAGGATGCACTCATATGTTGTGTTAAGCACTTAAGGGGGATAGGGGGTTTGAGCTTTGCTTATTTTTGTTGACAAGATAGGAGAGGCATGGGCAGTGCTTATGTAAGATACCAAAAATCTCATTATTTTCAAAAATATTTTTAAAAAGCCGAAAATTTTGGAAAAATAACAATTGTAAAATTTTTTATTTTGAAATAAAAACTTAACTTTTATATGAAGTGAGAAGAAAAATTTCTTCAAGGCAAGGTATTTCAAATTTTTATAAAACATACATTTTGTTTTATTCAAAGTTACGTAATTTATTTGAATTTAGTCTGTAAATTCTATTTAGTTATCTGAAAATTCTAATTGGTGTAGAACTGTAAAAGTATACATTAAAGCAAGAAACAATATGGCTGTTGGGAGCTGTGACTTTCTTACATAAACAGGGAAAGGGTTTGTAATTAATTTATGTTTGCTAACAATGGGGAAAGAGTCTAAAATTGCCAAATGCATGCTTGCATAATTTTTGAACAGTCCCTAAGTATAAAAGAAATTTTTTTCATCATCATTAGTGTTAAGTTTTCATGCTATCATGTCTTTCTGATTAAGCTGGGTTTTTTTATAATTTAATTGAAATCACAAATGATGAAATGCTAATATGATATGTTTGGTTATCCTTGTACTATAATTTTATCTTTTATAACACAAAAATATACTTATTTCACAATCCTATTTAATTTTATTATTGGTAATATCATAGAAGAAAAATAAGCAATTTCTTTTCATTTGATTTTATGTTATTTGCAAAAATGAAGTCTATATTCTGGCAAGAAATTTTTTTATTTTACTTTAATCAATTTTTTAAATTTATCACATTTGTTGAAGCTTCACTTGTTTAAAGAAATCACTTATGATTTTAATAGTAACAAGTAAATAAGGAAACTTTTGATATATTTTCAGAAATAAGCTAATTACACCATTGTTATTATTATGGATACAAATTAATAGAAAAGCTATTATTATTTTATTATTATGGGTACAAATTAATAGAATTATAGAAAGCTTATTATTCCTCTCTTTGTAACAATATACATAGATCAGAGCTGTTTTAAAATATACAAAAAAAAATGACAAAGAGGTGACAAAGTTGCTTCATGATTTGTGTAATAAGAAATTGATATATTGTGGTAACAACTTAAAAAAACTGGAAAATATATGTATTGAAAATATTGACCCTAAATGCCAATTTTAAATTAAAATTAGTAGCTCTCTCAAAATATTTGTTGCCACTATTTTTAGAACATAGCCCGTGATTTTAGATTTTTAAAATAGAACTCTGAGTCTCACAAATTTTAAGTTCTAGAATCAATTACTTGAAAAAAATAATTTTTATCTAATAATAACTTAAATAAACTATAACATATTTGCTCAATTTCCTTTACCTTCACTGAACTTCCTTTTTTTTTCTTAAATTAAAAAGTATTCAATTTTATGAAGACTTATCTTTTAGTAGGAAAAACTAATACGACAAATCAGCAAAGTTTGCAACTTATAAAATTTTTTTTACATAAAGATTGTTTGGTTTTCCTTAAGCATTAATAATATTAACAAATGTGAGTATTATTAATAATAGATTTTTGTAATAATTGTATAATTTTCCTAATAAATCATTACAAGTTGTAACTAATTCTGTGTAAAGTTTTATCAGAGAGAGGAAAACATAAATTTTTTGTAAGTGTATTATTGAGACCGTAACATGTTTTTTTCTGTTCTAAAACTAAATGTGCTTGCTTAATTATTTAGATAATAAAACATGAGTTGTTCTTATATGTTTTAATATTATTCATAGCATTATTGTCTTTAATTAACTTAACATTTCTTTCATTCAAAATTAGGGCGTTTGCTTCTAATATTTGCAGCAAAATTGGAGAAATGATTCAAGGACTGGCTACTCCAGTTGAAGTCAAGTTACAACTCCTTTCAATATTTCAACATATGCACCATGATGCTCAAACTATTGCACAAGTAATCAAATTGATTGACATTCCTGTTCTTAAATTGTTTTAGCATAGTCATTTCACTAATTAAATGACTATTTTGTTACATTTTCTGAAGAAAAATTGCTACTATTTATGTATATGTTATTAAGATCATTCTAGATGCTTTGGGAATCATTCTATTTAAATTTAACTTTAAAAAAAATTTTATGTTATAGTTGCATAGATATAAAGTATACGATTAAGATTTAGAGCAGCGGTTTCCAGCTAGCATGAGGCCAGGGGCTACAATTAGAAACACAAATCAAATGGCGGGCCGCAACTTTATAAAAATTTTATGTAGGACTCTTTTATGTTTGAAGGCGCATTGAATATTACTGTCAGAATTTTACCAAGCTGTACAAAACAAAAGTAGTGAATTGCAAATTAAAGTAAGAAGCAGATTTTTAAAAATATTTAATTGCATATTAAAAAAATTGGGCTACAATAACTTTAATGTGAACCTATGTATTAAACAATTAATGTGCAACATATATCTAATTGTTAAGATATAAAACTTTATAAAGGTTGGTATTAAAACTTACATAGTAGCACACACAATTGAGGTTTGTCTGCTGCAATAACCAGAGAATGGATATTTACATTTTAAATTTAAAATTTACAAATGTGTGTGTAAATATTTTCGTCCAAATAAAGTGGTTTAAAAAAGTTACATCTAAGAATTTCTTCAAGAAAATTTCTGATACACACATGCTAAATTATATTCACAAAATACAAAAAAAAATTAATAAAAAAGAGCAACATACACGATTATTTTTGTATTTGAATAAATATTTTCTTGGATGCAAAACCTGAGAAATAAATTTTTTTGCACCTTTGATATGATAAATTTCACAGAAACGAAGAAATTAGGTTTTTATTAACGAGAAAAGTATTTTAAATCCATAAAGATTTTTTACGAAAATTCCCACAAAAAAATGACAACTAATATATTTTAGTTCGCAGGCCACGAAAAAAGACTTCGCGGGCCGGCAGTTGGAAACCACTGATTTAGAGTAAAATAAATTTGATTCCCAGATGGTATTTCTTTCCCTGTATCATCTTGTTATTCAAGGCTATACCATTTAAAAATAAAATGTCAGAAGAAACATAACAATGTCAGATGAATGTCAGAAAAATGTCAGATGAAACATAACACACTTCATGTGTTATGTTTCAAAAATCATAATTTTTACTTGCTTCATATCTTATAAGCATGAGCATGCACCTAAGGGACGAACGCCCCTCAATTAACTTTAAAAATTTCCACTGTCAACCACTGGAAAAATTAAAAACTATTTAAAAAAAATTTTTTTTTAATTTTTGACTTTTTTTTCCTTTTTTTTTAGCATTAGAAATTAGAAGCAATTCTTTTAAATCTATTTTTCTAAGGGTTCTTTCTGTTCGTTCCAGTCATTTAAAAGAATTTAAATATCTCTAACAATTTAAAATAAAAAAAATACTTTTAGGAAAAAAAATTATTTAGTTCATCTTGTGAACATTCTTTTTATGAACATTTTTTTCATAAGTAATATAAATTATACAAAGCAATGTCATGAAAATAAACTGTTCAAAGGGAATAATCTGAGTGAGTCTTCGTTTGAAAACGGGACAATATTTTTCAGATTACGGCAATAGGAAAGTAGGTAAGGGGCAAGATCTAGAAGTTCAAACACCCCATTGTATCTGTTTTTCATTTATAATTTAAGATTTTTTTTTCCTTACTAGTTTTGAAACAGTTTAAATGTTTTATTGGGTACAAAATAAATATTAAAAATTCCTGGTTTTCTTTTAAAAGAGCAATAAAGTGGTCTCTTCACAGACCAAAATAAAGCAGTCAGCTAGAACTGCACTGCAAAATCTACCCCCTCATCACCAACATTAATTTGCGGATTTCTTTTCCTTTTGAAAATTCGTCACAGAAAAAATAAGAGAATCAAAATGATGCATCCTTTCCTCCTTGATTTTCATGCTTTTTACCACCCACAGCATTTTCAACTTAACTCAAGTCAATCAATTTCTCAACTAAGTATAATGGAATTAGTGTTCATTTTTACATTTTAGCTAATAATGAAGCTATTATTATGCTTATATTTTTTTTTTGTAATATCTGTGCTTATCTTTGGTACTTTAATTTACTTTTAAATTAGTGATAAAGATCATATTATAATAAATTGTTGTATTAGCTTTTTTTATTTGTAAAGTAAAGTGTTTCTGAAAATCGAAATTGAAGTAAGAGTTAAATTAATAAAGAATAAATTTTTTATGAACTCTTAAATTACAGTAGAGAACCGATTATCCGGAACGATCGGGACCATCGTGATTCCGGATAACTGATTTTTCCAGTTTTCTGAATCGCTACAAAATACCGTTTTTTTAATGTTTATAAAACGAAACTAAAAAATTATTTTGAAATAGTTTTAGAAATAATAAATAATGGAAATAATAAATAGTTTTAGAAATAATGGACTAATAACAAAATGGGCTCAAAATCTTGCAGGAAACTAAAAAAAATTTTTTAAATAGTTTTAGAAATAATAAAAAGTGATAAATAATAATACCCTTAAGTTTAAATAAGGAAAGAAATTATGAAATAAAAATTATATACAGGCTTATATATGTTATTAATATTATTATTAACTATAATAACATATATAAGCTATTTGTGCTTATGTGAGATTCGTCTACAAACGGCTTTTGATCCGTCCTCTAAATCAGTTCTTTCGTCAACTCGATACGCCGTACACTCTAAATAACAAAATGGGCTCAAAATCTTGCAGGAAAAAAAAATTTTTAATGGAAGAAAATTAATTTCCGGTTCCGAATTATATTCCGGTTTTCCAGATAAGAGGTTTTGCACTGTATTATTTTTTATTTTTTGATCCAATGTGCAATTTTGAACAAAATAGTACTGAATTTTCTTTACTGCATTTTGAATATTTCTCATTGAAGAACAATATTTTTGTCTCACAAAAGTGATCTGTTTAAAGTTTGTAAAAAAAACTTATCTCATGAAATTAATTAGAAACTGCGATGAAATAATTTCCTAATTGTTCAACTTATGTTGTTTGAACTTGTAAATCAGTATTTTTACCTAATGTAATATAGGTCTGGAAACTATGCACATCCCTTCTACCTGATTATCCATCTCAACAATTTGTTGTTTGCACTCTGCATACTCTCACTGAACTAGCTGCTGCTTCAATAACTCACATTCCTCAACAGGTATGAGAAATTTAATTATTTATATTGAAAGCATTAGTATATAATTTATGTAGTACAATAGAACATTTTTCTAATATAAACATTGAAGCATGAGGTTTTACGATATATAGAATTTGCACAAAAATATGCACTTCAGTTTTTTATTCACAGAAAAAAGAAAGCAAACAAATTTTTCAATTTTTGTTTGCTTTAATGTTTTAACCTCTTGTAATTGGAGATTATAAATTTGAAACCGTGAACAATTTTAAATACTTGGGATCTGAAGTCAATAGTCTTAATGGCATCTTGCCTGAGATCCGTAGTAGAGTCACAGCAGCTAATCGATGTTTTTTCGGTCTTAAAAAGTATCTGAAATCTAACTTCATCAGCAGAAAAACAAAGATTCTGATATACAAAAGTTTGATGAGACCCATTCTTACTTACTCTGCTGAGACTTGGACAATGACAGAAAAAGTAAAGCACACTATTTCTGTGTTTGAAAGAAAAATTTTAAGAAGCATATTTGGTTGCCTTAAATGTAACAATATCTGGAGAAGAAGAACTAACTCCGAACTTTACATACTATTTAAAGAACCTGACGTAGTCAAATATATTTCAATTCAGAGAATCAAATGGGCAGGACACCTATCAAGAATGGATAATAACCGCATTACAAAAAAGATCTTCTCTGCCAGACCATTAGGCACTCGAAAAAGAGGAAGACCTAGTCTTAGAGGGCTCGACTGCCTTGAAAGTGATTTAAATATTCTAAAAGTCACAAATTGGATGTCTCTGGCCAAGTGTAGAAGAGCCTGGAGTTCAACTCTGCGGTAGGCAAGGGCCCATCCTGGGCTGTCAGGCCAATGAAGAAAAAGAAGAATGTCTTAACCTTAAATTAATAATTTTTCTTGAACCCTGTGAAAAGTTAATAGTTTTTTCTCTGATACAGGAATTTTTTAACTGCAATTTCCATTGCTTTCTTCTGCAAACTTATTGTGATTTATGGAAAATTATGGCTTATACAATTCTTTTTTAAATCTTCAACTGTATATGATATTTTTAAGAAGCATCAGATATTAAAATTTATTTTTTTAAACAAGATTTGGCTATTTCTTTTGCCTCAAATTGAGGTTTAAGATGATTTTTAAATATAATTACTGTATATTATAGTTGTCTTTGAACATAATACATTAAGTGCTTAATAAGTTTCAAAAATAATTAAGCTTAGATGTTTGTTTTTTCAGTTAAATTGAAATCACATTATTTTCTATTAAAATTATTGTTTCTGAAACTGTTATTTGTCAGTTACCAAATAATCATCTTAAACAAAGTTTTTGGAGTCTTTTTTATTCAATATCTTCTTATCAGTTATTATCGTAACATGACTAATGGATAATATTTGGTTAACATTTTAAAACAGTTTGATTAAAATTATATGACTTTTTATAAAAATTTGATTTTTTTTATACTAACTTATTGTTATTTAATTAACATCAGTAACCAAAGCTTTTCTGTAACTTTTGGGAAATATTATTATTATTTTGCAATCTATTCAAATATTCAATCTTTATCTGTTTATTTTATTTCACATCTTTTCTAATAATTAATTTTAGATCTTTTTTTTATTTTATTTGTTATAGGTTAATTTATTAATTTCTTACCTCAAAGAAGATGGCCGTATGTGTGTGAAACTAAATGCCTTAAAAGATATGGAAAAATTAGCAAAGACAGGTCCTCACTTGTGGACTTTAGAAAACGTAAATGTGAGTTTTCCATTTTTATACATTTATATTTTTTTTAAAAACAAAAATTTCATTTAAAAATATAAAATCATTTATATTTATTTTTGTTTCAGCAATTGGTGAATTATACCATTGAAACGCCCTATATTAGTTTGAAGTGTGAGATTTTCTCTGTGATGGTGGCTTTGGCTTATTCAGTTTCTGTGGACAAGTTTGACTTATCAGCTGGTATTATTTAAGTTTATTTATTTTTTATCTATGTTTTATCAAGTATTTGTGTATAAACATTAGCTGGTTGTGTAATTGTAGCTATAGACATAAAAAAAAATTCTTTTCGAATTTGGGCTTTTTAATTTTAAATTTATTGTATTTTTTGGCGTTGAAGTCAACTTTTTAAACTGCTAATAAATTTAGACATAATTTTTTTCTAAATAATATCTTGATTAACTTAAGATATATAATCAATATAAATAAATACAAATGCAGGTCTATATGATGTATGCAAACATCAAAAGAATAACTCAACCAATGCTTTTGTACAAAAAAAAAGAAACTTTTTGCATTATATATAACTTCTTTTAAGTTGATACCATTCATTTTAGAAATCTGAAAGTTTTATCTACGCCAAGTTCAAATACTTAATTTACAGTATCAAAGTTAGAGTTTAAATTAGATTTCCTAATAAAAGTAGTAGAAAAACAGCTTTAAAGTATTGGTTTAAATTATTGTTATTAAAAAGTTTTTTTTGCATTTAATAATCAGTGCATATTAAATAATATGTAATAATTGAACTATTACATAAATAATTGGCTCCAAAAAATATGTTAGTTATATTTTGTGATGGTAAAATACCAGATTATTATTATGTGGAACTGAAGGTGACAATTTTGATTCTAAAATGGCATTCAACTTACCTTATTCTTTTTTATTTGTCGTTGTCTTGATTCATGTAATTCCGAATTATTATTATAAAATAATTTATATTGCTTATAACACTCTTTCTAACATATAACCATTGAAATTTTCCATTGAAGCAGATGTTGATCATTTAAACTAAATTGCATCATTATTTATTTATACCACAAAGTTTTGTTATTCAATTACTGATTCTGCTTGCATGAATTCATCTTCTACAAGTAAATTTGGAACTTATTACTCTTAAATGCTTCAATAATTGTTACTTTAAAATGTTTTAATGAGTGAATTTTAGTATAGAAACTGCAGTATTTAGTTTTGAATATGCCTGATTGTGAAGCATTAAATAAATAAAGGGAAAAATTCAAACATCAGGATACTGATGATTAAGTGAAAATATTGTTAAATATTTCATAGTTTTTTATTTTTTAGAATGTAAAGTTTTAAAACTTTCTCAAGATTGTATATTGCATGATAATGTCCCACTTGCTGCAATATCTGTGGAACTGTTGTCTCAAATAGCAATTCATGTATTTCAAGGTAAACTTTGTTCCTTTGCAATTTGTTGAATTTTTTATTTTATTTATAAATGAACTATTTTGAATTTTTTTTCCAATAAACTTTTAGAAGACGTAGTTGTTCAGAATATAGATTTAATGCCAGAAGTATCAAGTGCTATTGAAGCATTACTTTTAGTAATTTGTACATCTGATGATCAAAGACCAGAAAACCTCAAATCACTATTAGTAAGTGGTGTTAATTTTATTTATTTGTTTTTTATTTATTTATTTTTATGTATTTGTTTATTTTTATGTATTTATTTATTTTTATGTATTTATTTATTTTTATGTATTTATTTATTTTTATGTATTTTTTTTAATAACATTTGTAAGTAATGCAACCAAGCTTATTCTAGAATGCGTAATTTTATAGGTTTTCTAATTATTAAAAAACATGAAGCTTGTGTAGATTTTCTTTTCAATCTTAAATTATAATAGCTTTAATTTTCTGATATAAAATATATTAGTAATGATTTCAAAACCTTTTATTTTTATTTACATTGATTAATGCATGCAGAACAAAGTTATTGATTTTGTATTTTTAATACAAGAGCAGTTTTAATATTTTTTTAGAGGGGAAAAACATAATATTCTTTTCTTCTTATAATATGTATAATTTTAAGGTATCACTTTTGATATGCAAGCATTTTCTAGAAAAAAAGATTAAATATTAATCACAAGTTTCTTATTTCTTTTAAGTTACTTATTGGAAGGAAATATGACTGTTTCATTTTGTGTTTTTCTCTTAATTTTAAGCAAAAGAATAATCTAATGATTAAATATATTACATTATTTTACAGAAATGTTTCAAATGTGCTGTAAATATATGTGAAGTATCTCCTGAGATGTGCATTCAGTTTGTTGATACTATTGGCTCTTTGATTGGTAAAACTTCAGGTAATTGTGATAGTTTTTACTAAGTTCTCTGCTTTTTAAACCCTTTTATAAATTGTCCTCTGCATAATATTCCTAGTTATTTCTTATTATGTATTTAGTGCTGATAAATTAAAATTGAACAACATAATTATCTCTCAAGAATAAACAAAATTAAAAGCATGTCATAAAATTCTTAACTTATTTATTGAATAACAATTTATGTGTTCATCTTTGCCTTGGTTAGTCTAAATCTTTAAAAAGAATCGTGGTGGTTCTGGGGATGGAGCATTCGCCTTCCAATGAGGGGAACTGGGTTGGAATCCCAGCAATGCCTAATCAATATGAATTCTGCACTGACTTGCTGACATAAAATATCCTTAGTGGTTGACGGATCATAGGTTATAGTCCTTTTGCCGTCAGGCTAACCGTGGAAGGTTTTCATGGTTTTCCTTGTGATAGGCAAATTTCTTGCAATAATTGATCCGGGAGTTCCCTTGTCTTCTGGACTGGGTTCAAAATTACAAGGCCATGGAGCTGAACATTAGTAGTCGTAAACCCAAAATTAGGTCAGCTTTTCAACAACTTATAAAATCTTTAAAAACGAAGTCTAGTAAGAATATTCTCTTATGAATGAAATTCTTTTTAGTACATGCTGAACCTTGAAAAACACTCTGAGAAAAGGATCAAGTAAAGTAAAGCATTTAAATTCTGTTTTTATTAAATTAGATGGCAGACTCTTAGTCGAAAAGTTTGAGAAATTTCTAGAAATAATTACTTGTTTTAAATTTTTTTATGCACAAATGCCTCTTTAATTTCACATTCAAGAGAATATATTATTTCTATGTTACATCATTTGAATTAATTAGATATCTTTTGAGTTCAGCAGAAACTATGTTAAATTTTACTTTTTTACTATGTAGTTAAAATGTTTCCCAGAAGATTTGAAGATCTGCGTTCACTCTTTTTTTTTTTTTTTTAAGAAAATGTGTGAAAGTTAACTTTGAAATTTTTCCCCACGATCAAATCGTGTAGTAAAATTTGAAAAGAGTTAATATGCTTTGTTTTCTTGTAACACTATTTGAGCAAAAAATGTAAGTTTAATATTCTCCGTTTCATTAAATCTGCTGATTAACAAGACAAGATTAACTAGAAAAGCGGTGCTAGATGGTTCATTTTTAATTTGTATTTTTTTAAAAAATTCAACACATTAAGACAATTTTACATGATCTCGTTTAGAATAATTTATAAATATAAAGTTAGAAAGTTAAATAAAACATATTTCTGATAACGAAAAAAAAAATTGAATGTGGAGTTAAAGTTTATTATAAGATTTTGAAATAATAGCCATAAAGTTTTATAAAACTAGTCACCCATAAAATTTTAAGTTATTGTTATGCTTTTTAATTATATATGTATATAACTTTTTTATTTGCATTTTTGATACGTTTGAAGTAAAACAAATTTAGTGCAGGGTGTGAAATTTCCACTCATCAGCTCCCCATTGGCAATCAAGCGTTTAAGTCTGACGAGTAAATTTTATCTTTTAAAATTTCAAGTTTTGTGTTAAATTCTGATAATAGTTTATATTAAATTTATATTAAACTTAGATAATCGTTCTTCGACGCCCGGTGGCTGAGCGGTAGCGCTTCGCGCTGTCATGCCACAGGTCCATGGTTCGATCCTCGGGCCGGGCAAGGTTGACTCAGCCTTTCATCCCTTCAGTGGGTCGATAAATGAGTCCCAAGCATGCTTGGGAACTATACACTGGGGGTTCCGCGTTCGGCTGACCACCTGACCGGAACATCTGCTCCTGCACCCCAGAGCCCAAGGTCAAGAAAACTGAGATGGACACAGTAGGCCTTGGCCCTCTTTGGGCTGTCGCGCCGTTGAGTTTAGTTTTAATTGTTCTTCAGTGTAGCGGTACCTAGAAGTGTTTTGAAATCAAGCAAAAGCATTTTCATTCTATTAAGAACGTAAAATGCTGAGTCACTCATTTTTCATCCATTTAAACCATTGCATCTGAGAACATTGAAATCTTAAAACAACCACGACTTGATTCAATATTATTATTCCAGTTAACATGTCTACATTCTTTTATGATTTCGTTCACAGAAAGTTCTTCATACAACATCTACAAATATTTTAAAAATTGTTAATATTTTTCATGAGTGTGAAATAGTGTTGAGCAAAAATTTTAGAACTGAAATGTCTGCTCTGATTTTTTGAATGAGCAGAATTCTTGTTTTCGCACTCACACACAAAAAAATGAAGATAGAATTTTTATTCTAGATGTATGGGTTGTTCCACTATGTACAGCTCTATGTGCATTAGGCAATAAAAGTGCTGGTGTTGTAGTTTGCTGGCAAACAGATTTAATACCAAAGCTGAAGGAATTCATTTTACAACCTCAAATAACTTCTGAAAGAGCAAAAGCTATAGTAAGTAATTTATATATAATGATACTTTCTAGATAGTTTTTTTAGCGAACTCTATAGAATTTGTTTATATTATTTTCTTATTGTTTCAGAAAATAAAGGTTTGCTAAGCGTTACTTGTTTGAATGTATTGTATTTCTTGAATGAGAATTTTTTTTATTAAAAGAAATAGTTCTTGTTCTTATTAAAAGCATTTTAAAATAAAATTTTTAAATTTATGATCAAAATAAATAAAGTAAAATAAAAATACGAAATGCCACTGAAAATTTAATATTTAAAAAAATTTCTTCAGACTTGTAATCTAATGTTAAAGTATAAGAAAAACTTTTAATTCATATTTTTTATGTATTAAGATTGATTTACCAATTTTGGATAAAGTCTCACTTTAGAATATATTATCTAAAGAAAGTTTTGCTATGTCTTATTCTTTTCTCATTAAAAGATGTTTAAAAATTAAATTTTGAAAAAAAATCTATTAATATGGCTATTGAGGAAATATTGTTCTATAAAATGTTATTCTTTCTCTAACTTTGAAATATATTTTGGCAATATAAAGTGTAATTTGTAAAAATAAAAAAAAATATATGCTTATTCTTATGTTATATAAAGAAGTGCAACTTAGATAAAAAGTTTTTAATTTTTAAAAAATACAGGGTTTTTTTCTACCTTTTACAACTTAAGTTCTTGTTAAATTAAAAAATTAAATTCTAAACTTAAGGCCTGAAATATTTTTTTATATTAACTTACTTTAAATTTATATTTGTCTTTTTAGTTTTTGGATTAAAACTTTAGTGTGATACATCTCATGATACTTCATTCTAATGTTTTATCATTTAATGACGTTTTTCTTTCAGGGTATGGTATGCACTTTACTATTTCAAACAAGCGTTGATAAGCCATGGGTTCTTCATGATGATGAGGTTGTAATGAATGCTATTGATTCCGTGGATTTCTGGTCTTCTTATAAAATAGGCCGTCAAGCTACCAGATATGGGCATCATCAGTATGCCATTAAAATCTTTTCTACCCTCTGTAATAAGGTAAGTTAGTTATATTGATATATATAAGTTACTGTGTCTTATATTGACTTATATTGATATACAGTGGTGGCCAAAAGTGTGGACATTTTTTTAAAGTTTCATGTTTTTCAACTTTGTGTGCTTGTAGAATATATTAATTTTCACTTAAATACAAACGTTTATATATCAAATTGAAGGTAATTTAATGTAGAATTTAATATTAAATACAGTATTACAATATCTGTATTACAGAAAAGGTTATGCAACTAATAGTAAGATCTATCTCAGATTTGCATTTTTTTAAAGTGATACTTACACAATCAATACTTAAGGATAACCCTTATTTTTTAAGACAGTTTCACAGTGTCTTTTCATTGAGTGATCGAGTGTTTGGAGTTAATCTTTTGTAATCACATGGTGCCAAGAATCAATTATAGCTTTAATAAGTTGTCTTTTATTGGATGGACATTTTTTTCGTACAAGTATTTTCAAACGTCGCCACAAATTTTCGATTGGAATGAGATCAGGGCTGTTTCTTGGCCTTGGTAATATATCTATGCCTTTATTTTGAAACCATGCTTTGTATACTTTTGCTGTGTTGCATGTAGCTGAATCCTGCTGAAAAGCAAATGGTGGGTTGTTGGGGAAGAGATCCCTGATGGAAGGTATCAATTTTGGTTTCAGGACAGGTTCGATGTATTTTTTGGCATTCAGGATGCCATCAATCACTTGAATTCGGCCCACACCATCTGCAGACATACATGCCGAAATCATGACATTTGTTGGGTTTTTTGTAGTTGCTTCAATGCAATCAGGATGAAGTGCTTCACCTACTCTACGTTTCACATATTTTCTACTATCACTACTACGATATTTTACTCTCATCGCTCTAGATTACTTGCTTCCATTGATTTTCTGACCATTTAATGTGTTCTTTTGCCCACTTAACTCGTTTTTCGAGTTGCTTTTGATTTAAATATAGTTTTTTCCTTGGAATTCTAGCTTGTAGTCCAAATCCTGATAACCTTCTTCTTATTGTTCTTGAACTTACTGCAATACCCGCTGCATTCATTTCACATCTAATGGCATCTGATGAAATTTTTCTATCTTGAAGGCATGGTCGTTTAATTTTTCTATCGGCAGTAGCACTTGTGCATTTTTTTCGGCCTGATTTGGCTTTATTTTCCACTGATTTCATTTTTTCATAACATAAACAGAACTTTTGTACACCAGAACAAGTCACTGAACCACCAACTTGTCTTGCAATTTCAGCATAAGAGAGGCCATTTTCTCTCAATATGACAATTCGGCTTCTTTTCGTAGATGTCCAATTAGTTCTTCTTGTTGATGACATTGTTTGAAATTAGTTTAATTTAAAAAAAAGGACTTCAAATATTGAAAAACAGCAATACTCTATTTAATTGTACTAGTAGGCATCATTCCGCAAAATATTTCCACAACAATAACTCTTTTACCATCCAAATAACCTAAACTATAGTTACAGACATTTGATTGGTCCTTAGAACAGTGTTTGTGATTGGCTTGTACGCTTTTTCTACAAAACACGTCCTTATTCAAAACGATTTGTGTTTGTTTGTTGTACTAAAATGAACATAACTTTTTTTGTAATACAGATATTTTAATTCTGTTTTTGTTATTAAATTCTGCATTAAATTACCTTCAATTTGTTATATAAACGTTTGTATTTAAGTGAAAATTAATCTATTCAACAAGCACACAAAGTTGAAAAACATGAAACTTTCAAAAAATGTCCACACTTTTGGCCACCACTGTATATAAGTTATATTGATGTATATAAGTTACTTTCTCAAGTGAATTTCAACAATTGCATAGTCACTTGAATGTCCAAGATATTTGTTATGTCAGTTTTGATATTAATTTATCTACTGATATTTTTAAAAAATTTTTTGTTGACATTTTAATATCTGGTAAGGATATATTAGGAAAAACTCTTTGTTCAGAATACTTGGCAAGTATACACCGTGCGAAGATTTTTAATCTTTCAAAACATTAGGTTAAGAATACCGGTTATTATCCACACTCTTTCTTTTAATGTGATTATTGTCATTTACCGGGAAAACTGGGCTATCACGAATTTCAATCATTCTTAGTAAGATATAGAAATATTAATAATTGTTGAAATATAATTAAAGAAAGAAACTGGTCTACAAAGTCAGAAATAGACAAAATAAGTAACTAACATTTAAAATAATAAATCAAAATAGAAAAACACTTAAAGCAGCTAAATCCAAATTTGTTTTATTTTAATTTATTAAAATCCGAAAAACAATTCTACCAGAAAATTTTAAGATATGTGTGTTAGCAGGACAGCACTTCATCAGGAGACACATTGCCTGCCTAATTGTTCAAATATTTTTGCTTTCAAATCATAAAAAATTAATATATATTTGCTCAATTTTAACAATTTACTTATTGTTGTCTTATTTAGATTTTTATTTTGTTTTAGCTAGTTAAAGCTCAATTAATATATTGTTTATATTATTACCATTTGATTATTTAGCTTGTTTTATGAGCTTAAACACTAAATATTTATAAACTGTTAATGTGTATTAATTACTTCTAAAAAATAATAAATTGTTGTTAAATCATAATATTAATATATCGTTGATAACTATAATGATTTCATGTAATTGTTTTCATTCAATTGTTTTCAAATAAAGTTAGTAATGTATACTTGTAAGTATTGAAATGTATTTTTTCTAATATCTTCTTATTTTATTTTATAAGGAAATAAAAAAAAATTATTCTAATTATGTTATAAATTTAACCTTGACACTCACTTTTTTTTTTTTTTTTTTTTTTTTTCTGTTCCTTTAATTTTTGAAAGCCTCTGTAAAAAATTCTTCTTAAGATTTGAAATTTAATTTTGATCATTTTGTGTGATTCATTTTTATTGCTAAAAAAATAGTTATTGTTTATTTTTAGGTTAGCTCTGAGCATTTGTATTTCTGGTTGATAAGTCTTTGTGAAATGAGTAAAGCTGAGAACTGTTTGACATCTAAAATTGTCAGAAGTAATCAAGATATAATAGAATATGTTACCCAAGCTATAACTCATTACATGAAAGCTATATCAGCTCTGAAGGTATGATCTTACACTTTTTTTACATTTAAATTAATGTGAAAATGAATTATTTAATAATAATTTGACTTAGCAAATCAAAAAACGATAACCAATCAAAACTAATGTTCACAACTGCAAGGAAACTAATCGGTTAAAGAGTTAAGGGCAAGCTACTAAAGAGCACCTGCTTGGTTACAAAAGAAATACAATGAATATAAATAATAAAGAAACAACGAATATTTATTAAAAACTTTACAACAAATGCATAAAAGAACAACCATCAACTGGCGTGTAAGCTTTAAATAGACAATGAAGTAAATCATGCAGATGTTGGAAGATTCCTGACCTTTTATTAACACTTACAGCTGTGACATTGATTTAGGACAACAATAAATCTTCAGTGATGCCACTAAACTTTGGAAACTGTGCATCCCTGGGATGCAGAACTTCCAAATTTCACTGACTTTTTTTACTAAGAGTAAATTCATATCCTCTTTAAAATAAAATAAATTATTTAAAACATTCTAAATTTTCAAAATTTAAAAAAAAGCGAAACAAAAAGGATGGGGAAAATTGGTCGCATGATGAAAAAATCCATTAAAAATGATCTGTGGTATTGGATAGACAATAAACTATCCAACTCTTTATCCATCTATTAATTCACTCATTTATGAAGATTTCATCTATTGAAGAGGAAACAAAGAATTTCGAAACAAGAAAATAGTTGCAATACTTGCCTTGCCAACTCTAGTTAAACACTTGTCTCAAAGAAATACAGTTGTATTTCCGTGAGATACAATGTATTTGATACTCAAATACAATGCAAATGATACTCAGATACGCTATACAATGTATTTTGTTACTCAAATTTTGTTCACTTTCTCTTTCTGCCATTAATATGGAACTATGAAGAAATTTTATTAAAAAGAAAATTTGGTTTTATTTTGCCCACATTAAACAGCTGACAATTCTCACTATGAAAAATTAAGTGTCCTGTGGGTGTGTAAAAAAAATTTTGCCCCACCTACCACTTTTTAGTCCTTGACGCACTAAGGTGTTTAAGTGCAATTGCTGAATCTTATTAAAAATACTTTTTAAGTGTCCACAACGAAAGAAATCTAAATTGGGAAATTCAGGAGACCTGAGAAGCTCAGAAATACATGCCCACCATAGGGAATCCAACTATTCAAAAAGACAGCATCCAGTCTAGGTAGTTTGAGACTACTGTGAAAAATATGCTGCTTCAACATGCAGGAACCACATAACCGTATAAAATCATTTGGTACATTTTATCTTAAATAAATAAGGCAGCATTTGCTGATGACAGATAAGGTTTTTTTATCCATTTAAGATTCTTTATAATCATACTCAATTCTTTATCATCAATCATTCGTCTATATTGTATTTTCCATTTTCACTAAGCAGGTTCTTTTGTGCTTCAACTCTTAATTTTTGATTCCCTATGGAAGTAGTTCGTTTTAGGAAACTCTCTCAATCTTTACTGTAGTGACCTTTATTTTTGTTTCACTTTCTATATAGCTGCCTACAAGTTTACACATATTCAAATATCAAATTCAATGTAAGTGTTTTACTTCTATAAAATATTAGTTAATATAGTTTTCTTCTTTTTTTTATTTATTATCTCATTAAAATCTCACTGATCTCTAATGACCCTTTATTTAGGCCTATGACCTGTTAAAACATGACGAAAGATTGTAAAAATGATTATTGAAATAATATTCGTAATATTGGACCAAAATTGTAAATTAATCTTATAGCATAGGGCAGAAATTTTTTCTTCTTAAATATATTTAGAAAAGAAAGATTTTAAATGAACATTTAATTTTACTGGTATTTTATAAGCAAGCCATTTTTTTAAATCTTTGAGTATGAATGGATAAACAATGTTATTCCTGATGTTAAAGCAAATTTTACTTTCATGCACATGTTAACATAAAAATATTTTATTATCAGCTTTATAAAGCTATCCAATTTCCTAATTATTTTTGTAAAGCAATTTATACCTTTCCAATTCTCCTTAATAGTTCATGTATTTTATTTTAAAATGTTTAAATTGAAAATTAGTAAATAGTTTTAAGATATGTAAAATTTCTGGTAAAAAATAAAAATAATACTCATTTATAATGTTTATCTCATGTAAACAATGCATGTATATAGTTTTTAAGCAATGAACAATTTTACTAAAATAATTACAGTGAAATAATAACCTTTGGTTTTGAAAAATTTTAAAACTTATATTAATATGTTTTATCTTTAGAACATGTTTAGATGTGGGTCTTAATTTTATGTTTTAAGTTTCAATATCTTGCCTTCAGTATCTGCAGGATGTTTTTGATATAATCTGCAAGCAAAACTTTTAATTTTATTACATGATTTTTGTGCAGAGAGTTTGAAAGATTTAGATGTAGTATTATTTTATATGATTGAAGTCTGCAGAGATAATTTTAATGTTTTATAAAGAAAGTTATATAGGTCTACAATTTTAAAATTAATGCTTTAAAATTTTGAATGATTGTATCTGATACTCAGACAGTTAATTTAACTGATAATTATCTATTAAACAAAAAAGTATGTGAAAAAGGGTGGAATTTGAATAAAAAGGGAGGTAAAAGTATTATATAAATATATCACCTTAAAAATAAAGGTGATATCCTTTATATTATCTTTTTCCACAATTGTATTACATCTTTATCGATTAACACATAGCATTTTTGTCTATATCATTTACTAACAATGTGAGAGTAACACAACTGTGTTACATTTTTTTGGATTTATAAGGGAAGGAAAAAAGATGATATGAAAATATCATCTTACTAGTATCTTTCTATATAGTAAGGTGGTATTTTTACATTGTATTTTATAATAATTTTGTTTCATATTTAAGGATTACCTCATTCTATATTTAATATGTATTACACAGGAGAAAAAATTTTTTTGTTGCATGAGATTTTTTTCAGAAATCTTCGATACTTTTGTATTGTTGATTTTAAATCTGAAATCGGTTCCTCTCTCCATGCTATGGAGTTATTTTAATGCATTTTGTAGTCTATTTCTTGTCGACATGTACAAGTTTAAAAACGATATATAAAAGGGTGTCACGTAATCGTTCCAACAAATTTTTAAGAGCACATTATCAGTAGGGCTGCAAATTTGTCGCGGGACAAAAAAGCCCCAAATTCGCGGAAAAATCGCTTGAAATTTTGAAAATTACACAAATTCTAAACATAAAAAAATTTATTATATTAATGATGCAAAAGACGGAAATTGCGCTAATAATTAAAAAAAAAGCGTAAAAATATTTCTTTGAATTTCAAGCAATATTAATATTTTTATTTAAATGAACAGAATTTTGGTACAAAGTATTGTACATTGTCAGATTATTCTCATTAATGCTTCGTCTTTCATCACTTAATGCATTTTTATACTTAGAAAACGATCTTTCTGCGTCAACGCTGTTTTTAGGCACCGACAAACATCCAATTGCCAATTTTGGAGCGTTCGGCCTTTGATTTCCAAAACTCGATCAATTTTCCTTCACCAACGCGCAATTCCTTTACCGTTGCTTTGTAAGAAGTAATTGCTGTGAAAACTCAAACATTCTACATTCAAACTACTAGATACAAGTCCCTAGTAACTACTAGTCCCCCCCACCTTCATCCAGAAACTGATATATATTTAAGAAATCACAAAAAGTCGCCTAGGAAAAATTGACTGGATATGTAGAGAGGCAGTAGAAATTTCATTGCCCAGTGCAATAGCATGTATAACAATTTTTCTGTCAAAGATTTGATTTATAACATTTTCCTTCTTTTGTGATTCTAATTTCTTTTGTACTCTTACTGACTTCAGAAAGGTAATTACCCTCCCTAAGTGTAGAAAGACCACCTTACTTGACAAGATTGTGATTATCTCTTATCTCTGAACTATTTTCATATCATTTTGCTATCGATTCACTCCCCTAAATATCTAATCAATTTTGCATCTTCAATTTAAGGTTCAGGAAAATAAAAAATTCTGTTTAATAAAAATAATAAATAAAAAATGGAAAAAAAATCAAATTTTAAGCAATTTTCGCGCAAGTCAAGACATATTGAGAAATTCGCGGATTTTAGGAAAAAAGATGACAATTTCGTGGAAATTCGCGCCACGACAGACCTGCAGCCCTAATCATCAGGATTAAAATAGCCTAGGAACCCATGTCCTGATATGTTGTTATACACCCCTAGCCGTGTACAAAAATATTTCCATGCATTGGAAATATTTCTTATGCAATTTTAATCTTAATGTTCTGCCCTTAGAGTTTTGTCTCAACATTTATGTGACTCCCTGTTATACATGTTGACAAAAAACAGACTAAAAATGTCATTTTGAAAAACTCTGTAGCTCTAGGATTAAAACTTGTTTCAGATTTGAAGTCTTTACACCCAAATGAGACAAGATCTATTATTTATTTCACTGCCACAAAAAAATTTGTTCCTCAGTGTTAGTTATAAAAATATTTATTATATTGTGAAGGAATAAAATCTTTTCTATTTATTTTTCATGTAATTAATTGGTAAATGAAACTGTTGAATGAACTTTTATGGAGTAATAAATTATTATGTGTGTTTTTAGGCAGCTACAACACCTCAACATTCTTTACTTTTCCAATGTGAATATGCCAGGCTGCGAAGTGAAGTACTTCAAGCACATCTACAACTGTTGTTGGCGTGCTCTTGTGTTAAGACTTCACCACCTCCGGCAATTGCTGTGTCTGTTGCTACTGCTACCAGAGATGAGCTACAGAAATGTGGCAGAGTTGTTATGCAGGTATGGTGCAATCTCAACTAATTTGTGCATGAAATGAAATGATGAGTATGTGTCCATGTGTAGAGCCATGTCTGTTGCATGATATGTGAGTAAATGGGGCTCTTACGATTATGAAATTTGACATGGAGGTTTATATTGATCACCCAATCATCAGAACATAGCCCACATTAGAGTTTTAATGCTTCTATCAATTTCGGTTTTTGAATTTTTAATTTCTCAAAACATATAGACAGGCAGTGATTTATCTAGACCAATGAAGAAACATAACAAAAAATGCACTTTTGATTTTGTTATATTTTATTTATTGTTTGGGGAGAATTTTTTTTTTCCTTGTTGATGTTGCAGCTTGAGTGATTGGAGTACAGTACACTCTCGATTAACCGTGCGCGGATTATCCATGCTCATTCCGGAGTCAACAAAAAATTTAAAGGGAAACATTTTCAAGATTAAAAAAATTTGATTCATGAAGTTATAACACTACCAAATTTTTGAAAGCAATATTCGTTATTGAATTGCAGCATATGGAATATCAGCAGCATGGTCAAGGGTAAAATCGTCTACTTTATCACGATCTTGGAGAAAGATCGTACCGCTTGATGAACAATCCTCTTCAGATATTCAAGAAGAGTATAATAATAGTATTCTTGAACAAGCAAAGGAAATCGAAGGTTTCGAAATTCTTGATGAAGAAAATTTAGAAGATTGGTTTCAAAGTGATGCATGTGAGCCTGGCTTCCAGTATTTGACTGATGAAGACATCGTTATGTTGTTAAATCAAATAATGATGATAGTAACTGATGCAGAAGATGTAGTAAATGAGGAAAATACAATTTCTCATTCTGCTGCTCTGTGGAAACTTTATTAGTTTATATGGGAGTATCTGATTACGGTGATATTAATGTGATTCGTAAAATATGTGACAATATATGGCGCATTACACATTTTTTTTTAAAAGGAAAATTCCTAGTTTGATTTTATACAGCATGCAAATGTCAGTAATTTTTATATTTTTTGTATATTAATTTTGTATATATTGATATTGATTTTTTCTTTAATAAAAGGAGTTTTCAGATTATCCATATTTTTCGATTGTCCGTGCGACCTGTCCCGGTGATTAACCCGGATAATCGTGCACTGTATAAAGGATAAAGTGCACTGTATTTTATTTTCATTTTCCTACAAATATATTAGAAGAAAAAGTTTTTTTTCCAGGGAGAAAAAGATTTTGTTTTGAAAAAATAATCAGAAGTCTCAAATAAGATATTAATTAATCGGCACCAATTCCATATGATTTTTTATATCATTTAAATAAAAATAATTTTTTTTTATTTTTTCCTCATTGATACAGCAGCTTTCAATTAATATACAATCAATTAATTACAATCTTTCTATTAATTTTAATCTACATTAATTCTAATGATATCTTAAAAGTAGTGATATTAATGCAATTATTTGTTTCTGAAAAAAATGAAAGTTTAATAAAAATTTTAATTTTAAAATGCTATTTAAAAAACTTGCAAGCAATTTTGAAGAATTAAATCCTTTCTTTTGCATCACAATTTTATTATTTTTGAATAAAAGTTAAATACTGCCATGCGAATCTTCTCGTGGCTGATATTTTACTAAATAATTATTGTGTTTAATTTTTTTTTCTTGTAATAAATTAACTGTTATTTTGAGCCTAATATGATTTGAGACTATTAAAGTTGTTTAAGAGGCTCAGCATTGTGTTTTAATTTAGTTTCTTTATGGGCATTTTGTTATGTTATTCTAACAGTGATGAACAGAAAGTTCAATATTGATCTGAGAGAAGAGGCAGGGATGCTACTCTTTTATCTGAGTGATTAATTTCGTCCTATGAAAAATTCATCAATCATTAAGGAATAGTCTTTGTTTAATCTATGCTTTTAATTTTGCGTAACTTTTGTTTAAAATAAAAATTTCTAATTTTTACTGACAGTTTTCATTACATAAAATATTGTCGTATTGCATTCTATTTTCCGATCGTCGTGAATCCTTTTTGTGATTACTATTATTATTTTAATAAGTCGTGAAAATTGTCATTAAACTTGAGGCTAATTTATTCATTTTCCGATGGAATTAGCTTTGATATACTAAAAATCTTAGTCACTTTAAAATAAATGGTGTATTTTTTTATTTGTTTATTTTTTAAAAATCAAAGATGTATGCAATAAAAAATTGAAATTTCAAAGCTGCAGGTTACATTATCTTTTTTAAGCTGTTAGTTTCCTCTTCTTGATTTACTCATAGTTCCCTGGATCAGATGTATACCTAAAACAGGAAGGGAGCACACAGAATTTCTCCCTATAGCTCAGTCTATCTTTGTAATTAAATTATCTCATAATCGTTTCTCGAAAGTTCACTTTGAGATGAATTATAATTATTAGTAATAACCTAATCTTCTTACAATATTTATATTTGTTGTATCAATAATTTTTATGATAATTGGCTTTTAAAACCAGATAAATATCTTTCTTTAATATATAGTTTAGAAATAAATTTAAAAAAACAGAATTTTTTATTCAAAAAAAGTATTTTGCAACTAGAAAGAAAACTCTTTATCTCTGATTAAAAAGGATTTTTTTTTCTATTTAGATAAGAAAATGTGCAAAGGACTTCAAAAACTTAGCTGACCAGTACGGTGCACTATATCAATCTGTGTTTGATGCTGATTCTAAAACACTGATAAACATTCAACTGTATCCTTTTATTTTTTAAAAAAATATATCTGTATTAGAGGTCGTAAACTATTAAATTCTTCTTTTTTTCTTTTAAAAAAAATTTATGGTTTTAAAAGTCTTAGGGCATGAATAAAACTATGTTATACTAGCTGTACAGTTTTTTTCGAAATTGTCCTAGGTAGATTTTAGTTTATAAAGTATTAGTACTCGAAGAAAAAATTCTTTTTTTTTTCCTATGGTAATAATTTGCAATTTTTATAATTGACAAATTTTAACTGCCAAGAATAAACTCTGATTCTAAACTCTGATATTGCTTGGCTGGTATGAAAAATTACAAATGGGTATTTTTATTTTTTAAATTTTAGTATATTATGAGATCAGTGAATAATACAATTTAAATGTGCTATTCTGTGTGTATTCTAATCTATCTATTGATTTATTAAGTTACTGAATAAAAGTCGTTAAAAGAAAACTTATTTTGTATTTAATATTGTAACTGATTAACTCATGCTTTCTGAAACGCTTATGATCTGTTCTTCTATTTATATTTCTTTTAAAAAAAATTTTAATGCTGTTAAAAGATGAAACCCTAGAAAACGGGGATAGTTTTTTGGCCATGTTAATGTGATATGTCAATTTTTGAATTATTTACATAATAGGATATTTTAGTTTTTGTTGTGTAAAATTGACTTGTCTTTAATACCTTTTAAGATTACACCAAGGTTGTTTACTTATTGCTCAAGCTATTGATAAAGTATCTCAACATAATCAAGGAATGGGGTATGTTAATTTATGTCTAAAAAAATTTCGTAAATCTGTTCTTTTTCTAAGAAAAAAATAATAAATAATATAATTTTTAGTTTTAATCTTTACTTCTTATTTGCTTTTCAAATGATGCATATTTAAGTTAATTTCTTTCTTTTCCATAAATTATAAGCAGGTTACTGCTGATGATTATTGTATTTTCAGAAGAAAAAAATGCTCCAATTCATTATTTGCAGCAGATCTAATTTATATTGTGTGCTAGTGTTAAAGATATATTTATTAATTTTTCTTTATATTGAGATTTGTTGAGATTGAGAAAAAATGTATTGTCGATACAAAGGAGAAATTTATCATCTGTTACTTTTAATTTCTAAAATGTAGTTTTTATTTTGATGAAAGAGTGCCCAAACTTGTAATGATACAATGTGGCATTTAAAACGTTCAAGTCACAAATTTTCTTTGTGAAGCCTATATTTTGAAAAAATGAATAATTTCTACTCTTATCACTCTTCAAAGGGCTACCATACACTTTGCATCTGAGTTGTGAATTTTTCTGGAAAATGACAGTCAAATCTAATGTTATTTTGCAAAAAAGTTATTCAACTTTTAATGATGCATTGGACACATGAAAAACTGACTTTGTAAATTAGCATCACAGTAATTAAATTCTTATGTATCTAATTAGTTTCTGCTTAAATCGCATTTTAAATGGTTCCATACACATTGCGTCTGTCTCTGATGTAACTTTTTATAAAATCGACAGTCAAAGATAAATATTTACTTCGTTTAGAAATCCCCTGATATGTAATAATTCAATGTACGAATAAAAAATTTATGTAAAACAAATTCACCTCAGAACTTCTATCTTAATGTGAAAAGTGATTTATACTTGTATCGCTCTTTAAAATGGTTCCATGTTCTTTGTATCTGAGTTGTAACATTTTCTATGAATAGCAATCAAATGTAATTTTATTTTGGTGAAAAAGTAATTCAAATTAATGTAATACAATACACACCTAAGGAATTTCCTTTCAAATTAGCATTACAGTTAATTAATATTTTCAAAAGTTAAAAAACTCTTTAATTGCTCCATAGTTTTTAAATCTGTGTTGCAACTTTTTGTAAAATCGACAGTTAAAGATAAATATTTACTTCCATTAAGAAATCCCCTTATATGTAATAATTCAATGTACAAATAAAACATTTATGTAAAACAGATTCACCTCAGAATTTCTATCTTAATGTGAAAAGTACTTTCTACTTGTATCACTCTTTAAAGTAATTCCATTGTATCTACTTTTTCTAAGAATAGCTCTCAAAAGTAATTTTATTTTGGTGAAAAGTAACTCCTATTAATATAACATGATACACACCTAAAATATTTTCCGCTATTATAACTCTTTAAATGCTCAATACATTTTGAATCTGTATTGAAAATTTTTGTAAAAAATAAAATTAATAACTTTGTAATTGTTGTAACTTTTTTTTTTAAAAAAAGTGGCTGTCAAAGATAAGTATTTATTTTAGTGAAAAACTGTGCTTAATGAAAGAGTACACACTTGAAAATATATTTTTTAAAAAAACTTTTCACTGCAGAACCTAAATTTTTTTAAGATAAATATATTCTACTTGTGTCACTTTTTTTTAGATTGTGTTACATACTTATACAATATAATTATTTAATTTTTATGTTATATCTTGACATAGTAAAGTATGAGAATTATAGATTATGTTTATTGTAACACTCTTGCCTCTTTTAGGTTTAGTACAAGTGAAGAAGACATATTGTCAATTGAATATTCCAAGCAATCTTTAGAAAACTATCAAATGGGAGAAGCCTGTAGAAAAGCCTCCACAATTATTAGAGATTTTGCTTCGAATTATGAGGAACGAACAGTTTCACGACAGGTTATTTATGTGTTGTTGTTTTGTTATTTTAATATAAAAATATATTCATTATTCTATTTAATTTTGAAAAAATTTATGAATACTTTTATGTATTTCAAAATAACATTGCGGTGTGATATTAGTTTTTTTTTAACTTTTGAGTATTATTCATTTAAGGCTGCTCCTATGTAATGCTAAAGTATAAGAAAACTCCCCATTTTTTTATAGGAAATATTTCTAAATTTTCTCTAAAATTTTTCAGAATTTACAACTAATTCAGTATTATAATGTGTTACTTGAAAATTATTTTGATTTCATTCATTTTGTTCAACAAAGCCTTAAAATTAAAGAACTATGGGAAAAAAAATCTGCTATTTTTTATAAGAATTTTGTTTTATGAAATTTTATGTCTCGTAATTTTAATTATTCTTCTTATTCAAATTATTATTAAAACAATTTTATTCAACTTAAATATGATGAATAAGGTTATAGTTCAGGTACTGTGGTGTGGACTAAAAATCTAAATAATATGATTTCCAATTTTTTTAATATCTTGAATAATCTCTAGTAGTTCTAAGCATATATTAGTGTATTTCAAAAATATGCATGACATATTTCTTAACATTTAAAAACTAAAGTATGTCTTATTTAATCCTTTTCTCTATAAATAAAAATCATTAATATAATCCGTAATCTTTTTATACCACAACTTTGATTTGAGTGCAGAATAAAGTTTATTTTCAGAGATTCCCTCTACTTCTGTCTAACATATTAGCATAGAATTTGAAAACCGTTACATGGTTGCTAAATGTTTTGATTTTAGTAAAATTTGCTATTTGTTCTTGCACTTCCTTTTCCGCTAACTCATCTGAATTTGAAAGGTTAAGAAAAAGATCCTTTGTAATAAATTAAAACAATTAATAGCCAATACATAGATTCTTTAACTTTCCTTGGAAACTATTCTGAATACATGTCATTTGCGTTTTTGATTTCTTGATGCACAGATGTGTCCTGTGGAGCTTGGTCGTGCAACCACACCTTCCAATTTACCTTAGTAATTCATATGTATGAAAAATAAAGATTAATTTTTATTTTGATGGAGCTTTATCAAATTAAAGATTTTTATTACTTACCATATTTGATTATTTATTAAATCAGTTTATGATTTTTAATATGTAATTGCTTGCTTATATCACTCTGGAATAGATTAACGGACAATTAAAGATGAATCATCATCAACTGAAAATCAAACGATGATTTTAAATTGATTGAAAATCTAATTCCAGAAATCCTGGTCAGTCTAAAAAGAAATCTTTCTCCTGAGAATCCAGATACATGATTATATATTATGAAAAGTCTTTTTTTTATATATAAATGAAATTAATGTAAAGAACATTGAATATTTTTTTTTATAATTTTCAGTACTTTATAAAAATATGAATTCAATCTTTTGATTTTACATTTTCATTGTGTTATTCTTTATTTTTTCTTACAGGAAACTGATTTTTTAATCAAAATTAGCAATGAAATCTTCTTAATTCCATTATGTTTTCCGAGGTTCTTCTTCCAAGCTTTACAATCAACTAGCATTAAAGTAAGTTATTATATTGTAATTTAAAAATTTTAAGATATGTTTGATTGCATTTGTGCTTCAAAAATAAGCTTTTATTTAACATTTTCTAACTAAATAAATTAATCATAAAATATGAATTATAATTTTTAATGCATTATCAAAGTTTTTAAATTTGGTTATTAGTATTAGAAGAAGATGTAGTTGGAAATGTAGAAGTTACGATGGAACATAAGTACTATATTTCATAACCAAATTTTTCGAGTTCTTATTTACACATACTAAAGCTCAAAAATGGTTGCCACCTTAAGGTAACAAAATTGTAACTTATTATAAGGCAATTTATTATAATGTGACATCCTTCCCACCCTGGTTAACCTTGAGACGGATGACCAGAGAAATAGGGTAGGATATTTCCTTTCCATTTACTATAAGTTTGCGAGATCTGATCTTACCGTCTCGTCCTTGATGTATGCTCATTACTCGAGCCTTCTTCCACATGTGCCATGGATATACGTCTTCTTGTAGTAGTACAATGTTCCTAATTGTGATGTTAATGGGGTTGCCGAAGTTTCAAACTTGATGGAAAGATCGTAATTGGAGTAATATTCTTTTTACCATTTTTTTTTTAGTAATTCCTGATGTTATTTGTAGATCATCTTAAGCCTTATGTTTTTATCTGAGCTGGATGGCACAGCAGTTAATTTTCAACTAGTCAAAAAATAGGCTGGTGCTAGGACTTCAGAGCTGTCATCTTTTCCCACTTTGTAGACGGTTGTTGATTGTTGAGACGGTTGTTGATTGTTGAGACGGTTGTTGATTGTTGAGAGAGACTTCAATTACAATAAGGAGAATGGATAGCCATTCTTCTTATCTAGTAGTGTTTCCTTGTCTAGTAGTGTTTGTCCAAGTGCCTTTCGTAGACATTGTTTAACAATTCCTATTAAGCGTTCCCACCAGCTATCAATTTTAAACTTGATTATTAGACTGAAATACAGAAGTTAAGACAAAAGACAAGCACTGAGCTCTATTATCATTATCAAGTTTTATGGAGTTCTATTTTACATGCACTGAAGTTCTAAAAGGGTTGCCACCTTAAGGTAACAAAATAGTTACTCATTATGAGGCTATTTATTATAACACATCTACGGAACTCAAGCTAAACACTATTTTTTTTTACAAAGTAAAAAAATGATAATCAATCTATGTCATGTTACCTATTAATACTAAACAATAATGCATTGAGCTGAAAGGCACAATTTAATTGTGTCAGTATATGCCTTTCAGTTCAATGCATAAATTCAATTCAGTCCATAAATTAAATGTACTTTTTTTATTGTGTGGGGCACTTCTGAGATACTTTATATTATTAAATTAAGTAAAACACATTTTTAAAATAAATTCATTAAAGGAGAAATTCAATATACTTGAACCTGTTTTAAAGGTTAACAAATTAAGCATTGAAAATTATGCTATTGATTGTAACAAACCTTGTTAGTTAGAGTTACCACAATCTAGCAATTCAATGCTTTTCTCTCTAGTTTATAACTTAATTTTTTAAATTTAAATTATGATAGAAACATATTTTAAAAGCGTAAAGCTTTAAGCAAAGAAAACTCATGATTTCAGATAAAGTTCAAGATATTTATTTGTTGGTGTTGGTCTCATATGTATCTATATTGATTTTACTTGTGCTTACCTGACTTAAAGAATCAGAGAAAAGTAATTAATGAACCTACAATAAACTCCCAGTAAAACTCTATTTTGATTAAATTAAGCTGTAAACAAGTAAACATCACTTATGTTAACTTGTAAATAATTGGGGGGGAAAATCATCTGCAGTTTAAATTTCAACATTACTTAATACTGATGCAAACAAATAATTTATTTTAATTCAACCCTTTATAACAGACATTGAAAATTTCAAATAGTATCGGAATTGGAGGTAAAGATCTCCCTAGCACCAACTCTTCAAGTTTAAGTTGCAATGTGTGGTTGAAATTCGAAATTTAGAATTTTATTTAATTTTTCTTGTAGTTGTGTCCTAGTTTACTTTCTTGTATCTATTTTTAGTAATAAAGTATTAAATCTTGGAATAAATTAAACATGCTGCATGCTGTTAAATAAAGTAACTCTATGTAACAGATTTCTAAATTTTGTTAGTTAAGGTATAATATTGCAATTCTGCATTTTACTTATTGTTTTGATTCAGTAAGCAAACTATAAAGTGAATATTTTATTATTTTCCCTACTTTCTTTTCGATATTTATTTTTACAAATTTAATTATAGTACTAAATAATTATTTTAATTGATAAATATAATTTTAAATGTTATTTTATAAGACGTATGGAAACTATTTATTGCTGATATTGTTATTACATATTGATTAAGCTCCGTAAATATGCATTTCAGTTTATGTACTTTTTCTTTACTAAGTTAATTACTATTTAATTTTTTGTATGCAATTTGCAAATGACCATAAAAGCTGAACTCCTTTTTTTAAAATCCATGTTGTAAAAACTGCTTTTTGCCTTAAAATTCTTAGAAAAATACTTTTAATAGCACCTTTTCCACAAAGATTTAATATGTTTTAATTTTATTTTGAATTCTAGTAACTGTTTACTGTACATCCCAGTGTATAAGTCGATTTTTAAAACCCCCGAAATTTTGCGAAAATCACGAGTTGACTAATACATTGGTAATAATTGGAACATTCATTGATCGTGAAATATCAATGCATTATAAACAATGAGATAGGTATGAATAACTCGTTATCAATTTACTCTTTTCAAAAACTATTTTTAATGTGTCGTATACAGTTAATTTTGCATTTTCTCTTATGATATTTATTTTATAAAGGATTTTTTTAAAAGAAAACAATCTAAATTATGTTCAGAGAAAAAAAATTTATGACAATTTAAGATAAGTTACAATAATTTATTCAAAAGTTTTTTAAAAAAAATATAGCACAATGAAAACTTTTAAAATATACTGGAAAGCAACATCACATATGGTAAGATGAACCTAATTAACTGCAAACTTAATTCACAGCATTTGTTATTGGTTATGGTTAATCTCCTTGATTATGATGAGATACTTCATTTGATAAGGTACATCGTAGCATCTTTATTTGAGGGCAAATGTATCTTATCTAGAGAGAACAATGAAATATTTTTAACTATATTTTTTCTTTTTTTGTAGACTTAATATTTTTGTTATTGTTTTTTAATTTCAGAAATTTTAAGATTTTGTTTTCCAGGCAGTCCATTTATACACCGAGGTGCATGGTATTTGCTTTGACTAAAAGAAAGTTTTTAGGGTATATTTCTTTTCGAAAATGGAAACTCAGCACAAATGAAAAATAAAATAAATGTTTTAAGCCTGGGAAAATATAATACGAAATATTTCACATTGTCCAAACATTTAACTGTTGAACTAGTACTTGGTGAAAATGAGGAAAAAAAATTTTCTTTCTTTGTAAATGAGAAAAAAGTACCTCAGATATTTCTGTTGTAATTATAGGTTAACAACGCTCTCTTATATATTCTGTGCAAGCCCTTTTAGCTAAATTCTTGAAAATCTGCATTTTGTGCTTGTGCATAGAAACCAATAGTCTGAGATATTGACATCAACAACGCTCTCTATGAACTTACTCTAACAAAGAACAAAATGTCTCAAGGATTTCTTTTACACACACTAGGCAATTTGAGACCCACATTAAAAGCGTCAGATTAGGTTTCATTTGTTGTAATTATATTTATTAAGTATGATTTTGTTTATTTCATACTTTTCTAGTATGTTTTTTTATGCAAAAATCTTATGTGTATTATAAAAATTCTCAAACGTATTTTGAACTTTTAAAAAAAGTTACAAGTATGTAAAAATTACTTTGAATTACTTTCATAAATTGCTGCATAAACCAAGTGAGCAAAACTTATTTGGTTTCCCGAGACATACTAATTATAACCTATTTGTTTATTTATAATATTTTCATATTTCCAGCTTGCTATTTCGCCTCAACCTAAAACAACGGGCGAGCCTATTATCATTCAACACACTTCTCAACTTTCAATCAAGGTTGAAGGTGTTGTGCAGCATGGATCAAGACCTGGATTGTATAGGAAAGTAGATAAGATATTAATAACTGTTGTCAGTCAACAAAATCGACCTCCTTCTCAAGATCCCAAGGTAACTTCCCTCAATTAAATTAATGAATCATAAATATTTTTTAAATACATGTCGTTTTCAACTAACACTTAATTATTGAGATTTAAATAAGCTGGAAATCAGTTATTAATTGTTTATGAATTTTGTTTATTGACTGAGAAACTAATTTATTCATAATAAAGTTTTAAGTACCTTAATTTTAAGTAGAGATAAAAATTTCTTCATTAATCAAAATATGCTAAAAAAATCCACCAAAACATGTAAATTACATTGAATTGAAAACTGAATTTCTGTTTTAAAATAAGTAGAAGACTTTTCAGAAAAACATATAAACTAATTTCATTTAAATGTTCAAATACAAATTCATTGGGTAGAGAAACTGCTACAGAAAAATTTCATTGTTGCATTTCTTTGAAGTTAATAAATTGTGCAGCAAAAATAATGCTTTGATAATGCATTTAGTGATTTACACAAATTTCATTCAACATTTATCTTCAGTAAACAATCTTTCCAAACACTTTTGACAAAAAAAAATTTCTTAATTTTTGATGAAAATTAAAACATGTTATGAGTTCATTTATGTTGTAAATTTAAGTTGTTAATTACTTGTTACAAGGATTTTAATTACTTGTTCATTTTAATTTTCTATATAATGATTTTAATTTTCTATATAGGAATAAATTTTTTTTAAACAAAGCTATATACTATTTAAAGCGTATATTTATTAGTTCAGCATAATGATATAACATATATTCTGAGTAGTTATTAAATGAAGTATTTATTGCACTAGCAATTTTTTTTCCTTGCGCATTTAGTTCTTAACATTACAAAATTTTACATTTAAATTTTTTCTTCTATAAACTAATGTACTGAATTGTCCAAGCAAAAATATGGGGAAAATATCAAATAGTTTTGAGATTTAGCTGAGTGGATGAAGGAAGTGCCTTGTTAACCATGTGCCATGTTAAGTGCCCCTACTGATAAAAGGTGAGATTGATTTTTGAGAAAGCTGGTTTTAAGGTACTTCTTTTCAGTACTTCATACGGTCTTGGTACGATGTCAGTACTTCATCTTGGTTGTTCGAGCTGATTTATGGCCACTTCTCTTAAGTTTCAACACATATTGGAACTGGTTGTTCTTGTATTTAATCTAGAAATATAATGACATTGAATAAAAACTGTTAATATGATAACAGGTTGTAACATCTTGCTGCCTACTAAAACACGATCATAATGTTATTCATTTTTAGACTTTTCCGGAACCTAATATTGTGCCAACTACTACTCTGTCTCAAAATGTGACACCTCATTATGACTATTTCCATGCACAGTTTCTTTTGGGATTTCCCATCGCTGGCTTGCACTCAATAACAATAGAAGCAGCAGTTATTGACGACAAAGAAAGTCTGTGGAAAACAGGTCCTAAAATGACCCTCAATGTGAAGTCTTACGACGACAGCAATAACCAAAAACCAGCATCTCGGCCAACTTATGCTTCACGATTTCAAACATAAGATGATGACTTTTGCAGTTTTTAAACTTCACAAAATTGAACTCGTTTCTATCATTACCTCATTTGTAAAAATATTTCATGTCTCTACATTTACAAGAGAGTTGTAACTTGTTTTATGTTTCTTCATAAAGTTTAAAACGTATATTTCGCTTACGACAGTGTCTGTCATTTATTTCATATTTTGTGATAATGAAGAATCAGCATTATATATTCCATTTCATAGTTTAAAAAATATTTTTAGGCATGGAGAAAAATTTTATGATATTTTTTTTTTGATAGATTATTATGATAGAAAAAGTTTAGAAAATATTTACTTCAATAATAAGAATAACTCAGTAAAAACATAAATTAATTTATAACCTTTCACTTAATCTACATTTTCTTTGAAAAATTCCAGAATGGACTGCTATTTGTAGAAAATTTTAAAACTCTAACAGAAAATGTGTTATACTGTTTTCTAATGACTTTTAAAGTCATATTTATTTTAAAAACAATGTAGGTTTTATTGTACAAATTCACAAAATTAATTTATAGTTTATATTTTCTACTATTTATGGTAAAGTCCCTATTAAACATTTTCTATTTCATCGTGTATTATTTCTTATATTTTCGATAATTTTGCCCAAATTTTGTTTCATGAGCAATCTTATTCTATGAGAAAGCTGCCTTAGCTCTATGATTTTGAAGGAGTTTTGACTGCATATGTTTTCAAAATTAATATCTATGCGAAATATTAGGGGGAGTAATGTTTCGATGTGTTTGATATTTGTTATCAAGATTTTAGTTTTAATCAATAATGTATTTACCCTTGTTAACAATAACCTTTCAATACCGGATCGAAAAGGAATCGAAATGGACTGAAAAAATGAATTTGTTTTTAAGACTAACTAATATTTAATGCGCCAAAACGACATTACAATCCAGTCCCCCTAATATATGCTCTCGTTTACTCTTTCCTTTGTAATTATCTAAGTCATAATTGCCAAAAATTCAAGCTAGCATAGAACCTTTCATTCAAATTTTAATGAAAAGTTAATAACTCTTCTACTTCCATCAGCATGACAGCCTAGTACAGGCCAGAACCAAATCAACTAGTTGTCTCCATCTGGCTCAATCAGACACTAGGTTTCTCAATCTATAGATGCCCATGGCTTTAATATCTTTTTCTACAGAATCAATCTATCTGTTATTGGGTCTCCCCCTTTTTCGGTTGCCAGTAAGCTACTTAATTGGGTCACCATCATAGCTTGTCATGTGACACAGCCATCTTGTTCTGCAGGATTTAATAACTGAAATTATGTTTGGTTGCTTAAATTTTCAGTATAATTCAGAATTGTACTGAATCCGCCAAACACTATTATTTCTTCAACAGCTCCGAAGATAACCCTGAGTAGTTTATTTGAAATATTAGAAGTTTCAAATAACCTACTCTAAATTTTCAAATAAACTACTCTAAATTTTTTGTATAATTCATAATTATACTGAATCTAGCAAACACTGTAATTTCTTTAACAGCTCCGAAGATGGTTCTGAGTAGCTTTCTTTGGAATATTAGAAGTTTATTTTCCTCAGTTTTATTTAAAGGCCAGCATTCGCTGTCATAAAGTAATACAGGTTTTTACTATCAAAAAAAGCCAATGCCAAATTGATGCTTTTTCATATGGCAACTGTCGTAGATTCTACAATTATTTTCCTCTGACTATCCAGCTATCTGATTTCCCAGCTATCTGATTTCCTGAACAGCCAATATACCCATTCCATAGGAAATTAAAACATCGATCAGGTTTCTTAAAGCACAATTAACTCTAATGAAGCTAATGTTGTTGAATTACTTAATAATGGACAATGTAACTTGAGAAACTAACTGATTTTTTTTAAATCTCAAAATTTTTAATATTCATCTATTTTTTTCCTTTTTTTCTTTAATCGCTTAAGTGATTTAGTTATCTAAATCCTATACACATTAAAGTTTGATGAAATTACTTATTTTCTGCGAACAATAAGTATGAAAGATAGCATTGAATTGAATATTAAAAATCTTTAATTACTTTACAATTTTTTTTTTTAGTAATATTATTAAACTTAGATTCTAGTTTAAATCTATCTCCAGTAATTTCATTCTCTCAAAAAGAAACCGATGTGTACCTTTATCTTAATATAAAGGCACTCTATTTGTAGTTGCTGTATTATATTGCCTACATTGATTATGTATGTACATTTTTTTTAAAATATATGAATTTAAGATAAGGGTATTGTGCCCAATTGATTGCCACTGTTAATAGTTTTGAAAAAGAAAATTTTTCACAATATTTTGCATTACTTCTGCAAACAAATAAAAAAAAATAATGCAGGGGTCCTATAGATGAAGACACTACTAGTCCTACTGGTATGAGAAGAAAAATAGACATGTTTAATTTGGAAATGTTGTTTGGTGAAATAATTTTGAGTAAGTAGTACCTATTATTTATGTTTCTTTACGATTTGTTTAGCTCATTCCATCACTTCTGTGATTATTGTTAAATTAGTAATATGAAATACAAATGATAGCTTCAATTCTGTAAACCCCTGGTTGTAGAATCAATTGAGTGAATCTGCAGCAATATTTAATTTGTCTACCAGCTCAACACAGTCGGACAGAAATTATTATTGTAAAAATTCAGCCTTAATATAAAGTACATGCAGTAAATTTTCAAATATAAAGACGCTATAGATAAAAACTTTATGTTGTTTAAATTTAAGTTGAATTTTACAAAATAATATTTTTTAAAAAATGGAATAAATCCTTATACTGTTAGGTCTGTCATCAAATAACGGGGGTTAAAATTCTTGATTTTTTGTTCTTTGCGGTATTCTCTCGATTCCACTTTTTAATTTTTACTAGAAACAAATTTTGGGATGTTCTAAAAAGGAGTCTCAGCAATTTTTATCTTTTTATTTGTTTACCTTTTAAAAATAAAACTTTGATGAAAAATAATCTACGAATGCTGTAAAATTCTGTGCCTGCCATTGTGCTGGTAGGTTTCTGCTATTAAGAGTATACTATAGTAAACGAATTATAATTAAATTAAAATAAGTTCAAAAAAATTAACATTTGAGTAAAAAACAGTTACAAGAGTCATTTTAGAACATTAAGTATAATCTGGAGCTCTTCAGCGTCTACAATCAAATTGAAACTTTTCATCTTCAATTCAACAGTTGAAGCCGTCCTACTTTATGGGTGCAAAACTTGGAAACTTACTGAATCTCAATAAAACTTCTTTTAAACTAAAGCTCTACGCAGGATTTTCAAAATCTTTTAGCCTTGTGTAATTTCAAATGAGCAACTGTACCAAGGAGCCAAAACGAGAGTGAGTGAAAGATATGTGCTTGGATGGTCTAGCTGGAGCTTGGCTAGGGAGGCTGCTTCGGACGCAAGGAAAAATACTTCTTAAATTGTAACTTTGTATTTTTTTTTTTTTTTTTTTTNTTTTTTTTTTTTTTTTTTTTTTTTTTTTTTTTTTTTTTTTTTTTTTTGGCAGGTAAGCTAAAAATATATTTTTTAGAAATCATTTGTTTCTATTATTAGAATGATATGTATACCATATTAAATGAAATATAATTACAGTAAAATTTGTTTAAAATTTTACTCATGACAAAGGGATAAAAAAACTTCTTAAACGGTAAAACTTTTTTGGCAGGTAAACTAAAATTAATTTTTTAAAAAAATCATTCATGTAAATTATTAGAATGATATGTATACCATATGAAATTAAATATAATTACAGCAAAATCCGGTTAAGAAATTTCTTACGGCAATGAAAAAAAATACTTCTTAAATGGTAAAACTTTTTTTTGGCAGGTAGACTAAAATTATTTTTTTTAAAAATCATTCCTGTATATTATGGGAATGATGTGTATACCATATTAAATAAAATATAATTGCAGTAAAATCCGTTTAAAAAATTTATTAGATGGTAAAAATTTTTTTTTTGGCAGGTAGGCTAAAATTATTATTTTTTTTATCTTTTGTATATACATATTATTAGAATGATACGTATACCTTATTAAATAAAATATAACTAGAGTAAAATCCGTTTATGAAATTTCTCATAGAAAAGGGGGGAAAACTTTTCTTAAATGTTTAGGATGAAAAAAAATGTGATGAACAAATGACGGTTTTAGCTGTTGAGAGTTTTCAATGGACGAAATGCGATAGTTTTCACTAACAACTTCCAAACGTACGACAGGCTCTCTTTTTTCATAAAGCAGACATAACATAAATAATTGAGAAAAAATGTGTTTTTGCGCGTGATCGTCAAATTAAAAGTGTGCTGCTGCGCGTAAACCGGAAAAAGTTAAAAACAGAATTTCTCGAAAGAGTTAACCCATTTTGACCTAGCGCAGTCTTTCTCAAAGTGGGTGATAACGCCCCCTTGGCGGCATTTGAAACCTAGAGGGGGGCGTTAAGGGGCCCAGAAAAGATGGAGGGCGTTGATGTGGGTTAGGGGGGCGATGTATAATTTGTAATTTCATTTACTTTATATAGTATTTTAAATTTTACTAAAATTAAAACCCACCTACTACACAATAACGAATAATTAGTTTATATTTCTACCCTGTATGATGTTATAAAAACTTAAAATACTTAACATAGATTTCGTAGGATAGCCCGCACACCGTACGCAATTAAGTTGTAACAAGTTTCTGCGGATAGATAAAGGAACATGATCGATGATAGTTAAAAAATTAGAGCAATTTTACCTTAATTATATTGCACCAGAAATTAATTTAAACATTAGGAAAAAAACTACCATGCAGAGTTTTAAAATATTATACATACGTAAACTAACATAAATTGAAGTTTTCTTTCTTTCTTGCTTTTAACATAAGGGCATTTTACAGCATTTTCCTAGCATTTTATAAGAAATTACTGATATAAGAATCATCATTTTTTTATAAAATGGAAATACGTATATAATCATTGTTCAAAAAGTTGTGTTGGAAAATTTTTTTTACAATTAACCCATTACCGTCCTGTGTCAAATAGTATAGTAAGCCTAAACAGTTCAATTATTGTANACAATGGAAAACTGCGACACCATCATTAGAATTTTATATATAGTAAGAAATATTAGAAATAATAAAAACGCTGGCTTGGGCGGCGGTTTTTATTT